TTCCTCCTCATATCCAACCTAACCCTCCCCTGTCTCAGTTTAAGACCATTCCCCCTTGTCCTATCACTATCCACCCCCACAAACAGCCATTCCCCCTCCTGTTTATCTGCTCCCTTCAAGTACTGGAAGGCCACAATGAGGTCTCCCCAAAGCCTTCTCTTCTCCGGGCTAAACAAGCCCAGTTCCCTCAACCTTTCTTCATAGGAGAATGGTAGGTTTGATTTCTATTCTAGTCAACATTCTGATTTCCTCTTCTCCTTCATACCATCCTTGGTTCACTGAGAACACACAGTGCTGCTTATTTACTTGAGAATGGACAGTGCCACCAGAATATAACAATTTTTAATGCAATAAATACAATCTTCTATTATTTCTGCAGGCAGCCAGACAAAGTCCTTTGGGTGCTACCAGCTTGTTAACAGATTAATAACACAGATGATGATGAAATTTTAGCTACAGCTGGCCATGGCAGCTTGTTTGTGATTTTGAGGTCTTTTTTGCACTGCTTAGGTTTCTACTGCTTTTTATGAATTTAATTTTCTCTCCGTCCAGCAGAAAAGAGTTCTAAATGAGTTTTCTTCAGAACCTTGCAGGAAGATATTTCTGCTGTAACTCTATTGAAGCGCATGGTTCGGACACAATCCTGGTCTCTCTTGTCCAGTCCTACAGTGGCTCAGTGACAATGAATTTCTCTCAGGGATGAAAGAGTGGTGTCTTTGTTTTTGCTTTGCAGGATCCACGGTAGAACTCTGATGCTATACTTGTTAAGAGATTTAGAGGCGCTCAGCTGTGCCTTGTTTCTTTCCACACCCCAGGGGGGTGATTATCTTTGATTATCTCATGATAAGAGCCTCCTTGTCATAATTTACATCTTAATTTATGTAATTCTCCCTTTAATAATGATGTCTCTTTAATATCAATTAAAACTTTATGACACTAATTTAATGGGAACAGTGGATATTTCTCTCTGCTCCCCTTACAGTTTTTGAATGCGGTGCTTTAAACCAGTGTGCTCTGGAAATATCAGGGCGTTTCAGTACTGGGGCTTTGATCAATTAACACATTATGAGCAGGGCCAGATCCAGGATCTATAGAAAGGGAAAGAGGGAAAGACTTCAAATAGCCTCTTCCATGCTTTCATAAAGAAACTCAGTACTGGTGTGGGGCTCTTTGAGGAATAGCATCTCTTTTTGAAAATATGAAGGGTTTGAGACGTGACACACGCTAGGGGAGGAATTGCCATCTCATACCCTTATTCTATATACTGAACATGAAAAATGATAGAAATAGTGGAAGAACAGGCAAGTACAAGCTAAAAACCTACAAATCTGATTTGTTACCAGCAGCAAGATGATTTCTGCTTAGCAGTGATGTGGAAGGAGATGGCACAAAGGCCAGGGCCACTACACCAGGTGTTTTGCTCTAAGAAAAGTGATGGAGATGCTGTCTCTTAATTAGACTAAAGATAACACCCCCCCTTTGAAGTGACAAACTATTTCTAAAAGTCCATTCCGTTCTAAATTTTGCGTTCTAGAGGATGCTTTTCACACTGGACTGATTGCTCCCTTGATTCTCTATCATAACTTTTGTGAGTTGTTTTCCTGAGCTGTTTACTGGCTTCAGAAATGGCATCACATGTTCCTGACAGCTTTCTCCTCCAGACTACCCCCTGGCTTTGAATACTTCTTCCTTCCTAGCCTGTCTCCAGGATAAATGGACAGAGAATGCACTCAGCCCCTCTGTCATGGACCACAGCCACCATGAAATCTAGTTTCTGTTTTATGTTCCTCATCACTTGTGGTTTTGCTCTTCCTTTTCACATGTTATGCTTTTTCCTGTCTCTTGCTGATCTACTTAATTTCTTATTGTTCTGATATACCCTGAATTCAACCAGAGCTTTGAAGAGAGTCCAGCTCAAACTCTCCCCACCCACCCCCAATCACAGGAAGTATTCTATGTCTCAGCAGTCAGATTTTTCTTGTAACATCAATTAGGATAATTGGCTTTATAAAGTATGGAAATCTCCTGCCTGATGGACAAGGCAAGGTAAAGCCAAAGAGGCAGTATAGTGTATTCTCCCCTGCAAAGTCCAACTTTTCCTAGTAGCCAATAGCCAGACAGAGCAAACAAAGCCATTGCTGCCCTGAAAGAAACACTATTGCTTACTATACATGGTGAATTAGACTGATGTTATTTATTAAATTATTACAAGTTGTGACACAATAGTTAATATGTGTCCTTCAAATAACACACGCTACCCCAGAACCAGAGGCCTGAATGGAGTCATCTTCTATCACAGTTACTGCATGCTGAACTCATCAGGGTTGGGCATCCACATGTTGACTTGTTTCCCAGTGCTCTTCATTTCTTCATGGCAGGATAAGACCTGTATGTCAGCAGGACTGAAAACTCCCAAAAGATTCCAGCTATTTGTCTCCAACACAGTTTTCAGAAACTTTGATATGAGCACCTGCACAGCAATCAGGACCTGCTCTGGCTGTTACCAAGGGCAGGGTGAGTATAACTTACACTCATTTAGCAGTGTTTGCACAGTTGTTGCATTTCAGATTAATCTATTTAGAAATTCTTAGCTTCCATAATCACTGATAGATGTTTCAGCTGAATCCTGGAATGAGTACTGTGCAATGATGAAGAATATCTGTTTGGTTTCAGTCATCTTATCACTATGTTACCTATAGGTAACTTATCCAGGAGTGGGTTTTGGTTTGTATGTGTGTTTCCGCTATGTTTCAGTGCAGTAAATAGTTTTCAGAATCATTGCTCTCTATGCTTCACTTCCCCAGTGGGGATACCAACCTAACAGCTCTTGCCCATTGGTGGGCCATAGGATGGTGATACGTAGCTGCAGGATGAATTCTGTGCGTGTTGTGCAGCACGGATGAACTGAGAAACCATATCATATGATGGTATGCATAGCAACCATTAATGAATAATATTTAACCGTCTGCATTTTGCTGACTTTGCTGGACTGCTCTGCTTTATGTGCATTTAGGGTCAGGTTGCTAGTTATCCAAATTATTCAAATTATCTCCCTGTGAAATAGCTTCATCATTTAGTTGGAACAACATATCACATGTTTTTTTGAGACAAAAGTAGCCTTATTTTTGAACTGATTTCATTTCCTCAGTGGGACTTAGGGATGGGTTTTTACACTCTGACTTGTTGCGTCTTCATTTTGGGAGGTAACATTTCAAGAGTGAGGATTTTTTAATAGCTATGACACATCCTTGCAGAATTTTACCAAGCTACTACCTCAGGCCAGCCTAAACCTTAGGTGAATTTGCCTAAGATAACGTATGTAAACTAAACATCCTTTTGAGCTTTGAAGAAGTACCCAAAGGCTCTTTGAAGAGCGTTCCAACTGCAATTACCTCTTAAATATATTTATATATAAACGTATACTGCCCTACAATAACATAAGAGAGAAAAAGACTTCAGGAGCTGAGATCAAAGGACAGGAGGAATAGTAAAATCTGACTCAGAGAAGCTACAACTGACAGTATGATAGGTAAATAGTAACCAAATGAGGCACATGGACACTCATGCCAAAACTGACTCGTTCTGGTTGATAGGGCAATAATTTTCTCTCATTTCTGGAAATATTCATGTGTTCAAAACCTTTCTGTGCTTTAGCTCACATGAATATTCCTCCTTGCTGAATCTATCTGTGTTAACAGTAGTGAAAACATACTCGAGACACACTTTTCAGCCAAGGCTTTACTGTGCCAGGTGCTATACATATGAGCGTGTTATTTACACGCATACATAAGCAGCCCTTATCTCTGAATAATTTGTCTTATAAAGAGAGCAGAAAGGATCTATAAGAATCACTGTTTGGGGGACACCAGCTTTTGGCACTGAGACTTAAGAAAAGGTGTTTGAAGTCACTCAGGAGACGCTGGTAGAGCAACACCTGGATCAGACAAGAGGATCCTGGCCAGTACATGGCAAACATCTTTTTTGTTCCTTTTATTTATTTATCATTCTTCTGAATCCCACCTCTTTTTGAATCAGTAGTCACACTTCCAAAGTGATGATAAAGCAAAGCTAATCTCTTTTTCTTCTATCTTTGTTTCTAAACTGCTGTTTGTTCCTCCCAGGAGGATTTACAGTGAGACTTGAGCATCTGACCTTCACCAACTCACCTTTCCAAGTATCCTTCCCCTTTCCACATGCTGCCATTCTTGAGGATCTTGATGGCTCTGTCACTGGGAAGGAAGGAAGTCGTATTCTCCCTTCTACAGACATCCTTGTGGCTTCATGCACAACCAATGCCAATTTCAGCCAAGCTTTGGGTGGCAGTGTATGCAGCAAGGACCTTGTTTTCCACCGTATGTCTCTTCACTTGTAAGTAAGAAAGCTACTTTTGAAAATTTGGCATGGATGTCACTTGTTATGTTCTATATTGTATTATATATATAAGGTGATTGCAGCGAGTGTGAGGTTGGTCTCTTCTCACTGGTGACAGGAAGAGGGGAAATGGCCTCAAGTTGCACCAGGGGAGGTTTAGGTTGGATATCAGGAAACACTTCTTTACAGAAAGGGCTGTTAAGCACTGGAATAGGTTCCCCTGGGAGGTGGTTGAGTCACCATCCCTGTATTTAATTAAAAACCATTTGAATGTGGTGCTCGGGGACATGATTTAGTGGTGGGTTGTTACTTAGGGTTGTATGGTTAGGTTGTGGTTGGACCTGATGATCTTTAAGGTCTTTTGCAACCTGAGCAATTCTATGATTCTATATTGACATAAGGTAGACTCTGCTGCTATCTGCATGATCCCTTTGCTGAGGCTGCTTGTTCTTGCCCAGGCAGTTCCCATGGCATGGCTTGAGAGAGAGGATAGGGACCATTTCCAATGGGCAATTTGGGTGTAGTCATCACGGCTTTGAGGAGGAGAACCCACCTATATGGACAACTATAGAAAGTATAAATATCCCTTGGCCTCCAGGCCAGAGAGCTCTCTTTGGTTTAATTTATTTACTAATTTAAAAATGGCCTGCTCATATTTAATTTATTTTTCTGAGGTTCTCAGCAAGCTGCTTATCCCGTGTTACCTTGGTTTTCCACCTATAATCTCGGTCCTGTCTGGAGACAGGACATTACCTTGTTCTTTGTACAGCATTACACTGACCTTTAAGTGGAGGTTGTGGTATATTGCTATTTTGTCTCTTTTCAGCTTACCAGAGGGATATAAATGGGCATTTGTAGAACTGGGAATGTGGCTCAACGTGGTCAGGGTGAGACTGATGGCTGAACCTTAGCCACAATGAACTGGAAACTTTGCCAAGATCTTCTGACCGCTGAAATATAAAATAGCCACAGATTATGAGAACACTACCCCCGATGAGGAGATGCAGTCTTAAAATAATAAAAATAATTTTAATGTAATTAGAATCTAAGTCATGGTCTGAGAGTGTTTCCTCTTATGCTCACTGTGAGAGATTTCCCCCCAAATTCCCAAAGAATGGGTGGTCATGAATAGATTGTTTTTTCACATCTTCAGCAGAATATTTCTGGCATCGTATTTCATTTCTGTGTTAGTTTCATGAAATATTGGGTTTGTGTATTGTATTTTCTACTAAAACTAGATTCAGTGTTTTATTATTTCACAGTCCCATCTCTCATACAATAAGCATATGGCATGGAACATAGAATAACTTCATGAGATATTTAGTTAAAAGAAAACTTTCTGTCATTCTGTTGTAGCCATGTCTTTCTTACCTACCTCAAAAGGTCTTTTTGGTCTTTCATTTTGCTTTTCTTTGTTTCTGTGAGGTAAATGTAGACAATTCACATCAGCAAACCTTTTATTAAGACTGACCCAAATGACAGCATAAGCATTTTTTTTTCTATATGATTATAGATTGCCATCAATATTATGGCATCAGAAAGTGGTAGAAGGGAGATAGGAAACTCAAGAGTCAGCTTTTGTAATTGTGAGAGACAGAGCTTTCTTGGCAACTAGATAATTGCTCATCTGAAGTGGATGACATTCTAGTTCCTGCTTGATTGTGATAACACCTCTGTTTATACACTGAAATAAAAATAACATTTTTTTTGTCTTAGTAAACGATTGTGGAACCCAAAGCATAAACGAATGAATCACTTTACAGATGAGAGCAACTGCAGTAAAACAGTGATGTAGCTCCCAGAGCTCATTCAGCACTCAAATATTACTAGAATGATTTGGCAGGTGAGCCAAAAACTCAGTATGAGCAAATTCAAATTGAGTCAGACGTATAAACCTAGATGTCATCCTGAAGTACATGTGGTCACCATGTGGGCACTAATGTGTCCTAGTACAGGTAATTCCTCCTTGCATCAAAAGGTAGTTAAGGAGCAAATGTAAATACGGGTTTGAGTCCTGATCTACATTTCATCTTCCCTGTACATTTCTTGAAAGTTTTGGGTAAATCATATCAAGGGAATCAGGCACATCTCAGCCAACCTTTCTTTCCTTTTGTAATTATTCATGTACATGAGCTGAGAGTCAACCTAAGTCAAAGATAATCAGCAGTCTCAGAAGCAGAGATCAGCATTCAGCCTGGGAGACAGAGCATCCTGTCTGTGCTGCTTCCAGATCCTCTTTCCTGAGCAGCTCTTACCAGCCAAGTCACTGTCATGTTGAGGTGACTGTATGAACACAAACAGCAGCTGTTGTGAGCAGTGAGTCAGGGATGCCTTGCTCCAAAAAGGAGTTGGTGGAGAAGCAAGGTGGAAAGTGAAAGGAGCTGGAGGGTCTGAAGGATGCAGGTCAGTTAGTAAACTATGACATGACTAGGGAAGGGAAGGGAAGGAAAAGGGAAAGAAAGGGAAAGGGAATGGTGAATTTTGTCCAGATGTATTTGAAGAGTGTTTGCAATAAAAAGGGAATTGTTTGGGATTAGTATACCAAAACATGACTGGGAGCAATTGGCAGCAATTGAGCAGACAGAAGAAGAAAGATAGGCTGGTTGACAGGGAGGTTTTACTAACAACGAAGTCTCTTGGACTCATCTCAATAAAAGGATGAAAGTACTGTTGCTTGGATTTCTTTACTTTCTGATGAGCAAAGAATTAAATGTAGCTCTGGAAGTAATCTTTCTGTGGTGCTCTACCAGCCCAGGAGTACATAACCTGTCAAATCTGCAGCTTGCTAGTTCCTGGTTGTGCTTTGTTAGGCTCCTAGTTGTTCCTCACCATCTGTGCTGAGTCCCTGCAGCTGGGAAGATGAGGGGCTGTGAAAACCATGGGTGAAAAATGGGATGTGAACCTCTAAGTCCAGGCTTTAAGATTGGGAAGCACATTTGCAGACTATCAGACTGAAGTGTCAACGTAACAGCATCCTCACTTTGATATGAACTCACTCTGAACAAGGAGATTATTTCAGGCAGTAGTAAATAATTGCTCGGTAGCCCTCTCTTGGTGCAGGTCTCTGTGCTCCTGAATAAAAAGTGTGAGGAGCATGGTGTGTTTATTTGCTTTCCCTGAGGACTGGACTCCAGATCCAAAAATCTTAAAGTCTGAGGGAGGATTTTGCAAGAGAATTCTTGGTATGGCAAGATGGTTGGTCAGAGAACCAAACAGTATCTGATGGTCCTGTTTGGGAAGGAGTTTGGATGGACCAGATGACCCCTCGGGATTCATCCCAAGTTCAACCATTCTGTGATTTACTCACAGAGGAGGGAGACAGCTTGGTACAGCGTAGTTACCATTATCTCAGCAGCCTCAGGCTCATTTCCTGACTTTGAGGACAACCAGCAATGCCTATCCACAGCTGTCTTATGCACCTTCTTAGCCGTCAGAAGATCAGGAAAGCTGTATCAGTGCTACCTTTTAGGAAAGTTCCCATTTGGGATTTGTCTAGGAGAGGATTGGTTGACACGAGCCCAAAGCACGTCCAGTTACAATCTGGCCAACTGAATGTAAACACCCAACTGTCTGTTACTCTGTTTAATTTACCAGGGTACAATAGCATACTGGCACCATCTTTTCTACAGGATGTGTCTGAAAAATGTCTGAGTTTTTTATTTTGCTTTATTTTTTGAGGAAAACCTTGGGAACCCATTTTTGTTGTTACAGAAAACAAGAATGTTAAGCAGTTATTGACTCCCTGTCTTGAATTTCTTCACTCAACAACTTCCAGAGCAACAGGAATCCATTCCCAAATCTGCATTGCTGTAACAATGCCTTCTCCACGAAGTCCAGTTGAAAGTTAAACTAATGTGTCACTTAAACACTCTTTAAGGAGGGATTTTATGTCTTTTAAAAATGTAATTGAAGCTTATAAAAGTCTTTATAAATTTATATGTGGGAAAGTTATTGAGTAATCTGAAGAACAGCTTATGCCATGGCACAGTGCAGCGTGGCTGCAGGCTAGATACGGCTGCTCCAAATGCCACCGCTACCCATATTATAGAGAAAATATGAGTCTCTATTAATATTAAAACAAATTTTCATTAAAAAATTGTCATAACATGATTAAGTGACTTTAAAAGTTTCTTCACATTATGCATAATTTTTACAAGAGGAGTGCATTAGAATAATCGGCAGCCAGGCAGCACCTCGTGGCCAAGGGGACTCCAAACACTGCAACCTCGTGTACCAGAAGGAAGTTTGCCTCTTGTTCCCTTTCACTGGCTTTTCCCTCCTCCCTGCAGAAAGCTGGGTCTTGCTCAGCACCAGGCATGTCGTTTGAGCCTTTTATTGTTTCCCTCTTCTTAGTCTGCTGCAGAGGAAAAGATTAACTTCTTCTTTATAGCCTTAATTCTTAAATCTGGTCTAATATCCTCTCCTGTAGTGCATGCATTCAGTTGCTGCACACCCAGCCGTTGCTGATGGGTTAGAGTGAAAAGAACAGCATACCCCCTACGTCTGGGTCTTTGAGTCTTGAAGAGAGTTCAAGCAGTTACTCTCGTTTTGCTTTTCCTTTGATATTTACTTACTGTGGTGCCTCCAGATGAACACCCGCCTGCTGTGAAACACCCTTACTGTCACTGTTGTTTTTTACTCCATGTGTATGTGCTCAGTTGCTCTCTGGTAGTATAACCTCCCTGCCTACATGATGGGATTCACACACGGGGCAGCACGCGTGCTCACTTGGCCTCATGGAATAGCCTTTCTCAGTGGCATAATATAGAAGCAAATATTTAAGGGTTGGCTTTTGAGTGTTCAGTCCACAAGCACATCAGCTGAGCTTCAGAGCTTCATCTGTGCCCGCTCACCAAAGAGAGATTTGCTTCCCAGTGCAGGACCTCTTGACATTTGTCTTACACCTTAGAGTATCTGCAAGAGAGCTTTATCCTATATGAGTATGACTTATGAGTATGCAGCTCGTGTCCTTGAGCCCAGCCCTCAGCTTGACTATTGGCTCCAATGTTCCTAGGTGCAGAGGGAGGTATTTAGCATCGAGGCAGAGTTTGGTAGCCCTGTGCTTTCTTTGCCTGCAATGAAAAGCTGTTTGGATGCTTCTTATGGGCTGAATAGATTCAAGCCACGTCTGCCAGCTGGGCACGCTATCATAACCAAAGAATTATTAGTCCAAAAATTGCATTAATTTTTACAGGATTGAGTGGGCAATGAGAGTGCTGCAAAAGCATGCTCTGAGTACATGCATCCAAATGTTGAGATTCGTGTTGGGTGCTTCAGAACTCCACCTGATGTGGGATAAGTGGAGTGACTAAGCTGCCATCTGCAGGTCTTTGCTATGCTTACACTGCAGAGTTGTTTGAGGTGCTTGCTTACCGGCCATATTCCAGCTCAGAATGCATTCCTAATTTTAGTTCTCCTAAAAAAACCAGCCTGTAAATTGTAGAAACTGGTGAACTGATCCTAGAACAGGAATAAGTTAGGAAGACAGAAGCAACTAGCTTGAAAGCTACCTCAAAAGGTGCCCTCTTAGCTTGTTGTTCACAACCCTTCCAGTTGCTGACATCACCTCAATTCTTCTGCACTGCAAAGTCAAAATATCCCATAATAGCCACTCAGGACTGGGAACAACAATCTTGTTCGTTTCCTGAAGATCTCTGCCTACAAAGCTCATTGACTATAAGGATTCACAATACAAGTCAGGCTTGAAACAAGGTATTTCTCGACAGAGATGCATATATTAACTGAAAGCAGATGAAAATTTAGATTCTTGACAATTAAAGTAAAATGAACTGTTCTTGGGCCTGGCATCAAACATGTAAAGGGTTTGCTGTGTCCATAATTTGGAATTAGCCTCCATTTGGCCAACAATAAATGGGACCGTTGCTATAAACATTTGGCGTCCTGTTTGAAGTGAGATGCTGTATTGTTTCCTGTTTTAGGAAAGGGATAATCATAATGGATTATTACACGAATCTATCAAACAGAAAGCAGTTAGAGCTAAGCACAGCGTCTGCCTTCATACGCACAGATATGGACCCTTAGGATAAGGAAGCTAATGGTAAACATAAACAGGAGAGTTAATATTTGTTCTATTTGATGTTGTTGGTTGGTTTCACAAATCCTTGGAGGGCCATCTATGCCGAACAGTTGTGCACAATGCACTTGAGCCACATTATGTAACAGTTTGTATGATTACCATTGGTAAACTGTTACTCAGACTGTAAAGTCTTATCTAGCAATCCTGCCATATTTCTAGAGAAAATTGCTCCTTAATTGAAACCTGCTTCAATATAAAAATACAGCCTTTTCAATGAGTCATCCTTTTTTTTTTTTTTTTTTCCTCTTACAGTTTGTAAAGGCTTCCAGCGGTTTAAAGTGAGGGTTAATTTTGCATTAAGACCATTGCCTCCTAGTTTCTTTCAAATAAAGCCAGAGGAAGTTCGGGGGAAGGCTCTTTCCTCTGATAATGAAGCTCTCCATGTTAATGATGCGTGCAGGCTCCCTCAGATCCTCTGAATTAGAAATACTTGTGTGTGTGAGCACTACTCTGCTCCATTAACATTAAGGAGAGGTAGATTGGTGGCTATTTAGGGCACAGTGAAATCACTGGCTATTTAGGGCAAATGGAAATGGTGCTAATTGTGGCTGGTAATTCCATTAGTAAAGCACTTCCATTTTGGTGTCTGTTTGGCAGATAGGTGAAAAAACAAACACAATCCTTTCAAGGGGAATGTAGTGTCAAGCTCATTATTTCCTTGTACGAATGTTCTGTGCAGAATTGCATTTTTCATGTTCCCTCCAATTTTTTTGGTGTGTGTGCTGACTCTGTGTCAGGAGTAGAACGTGAAAAGCGAGAACATGGTGTGCCATGTCAAGAAAATACCAGATGTTTCAGGCCATGGGATGCCAGGCAGCCTTACTTTCCTGCTCCCTTTCCTTCCAGGTCGTGAACAAACTTCCCAATTAAAGCCTGGGAACCCAGACCACCTTGCTATATGCATGAAAAGTGTTTTCTTGAGAAAAGTGGTTCAAGCAGTCTGATCAGGCTTCTCCAGCAATCATAGAATGGCTTGGGTTGGAAGGGACCCCAAGGATCATCAAGTTCCAGCCCCCCATCAATGAAAAATAAAGAGCAAAATAGCAAGGATTCACACTGCACAGGGGATGTGTCAGACTCTCTGTCTCTTGCTGTGGCACTGTGTACCTTGGTAACTCAATAAGACAATTCTGATGTACAACATAGTTTAATGTTGCACCACACCACGTTTGGCATGCTACTGCTGCTAAGAATGTACTCCTGAATACCTGTGCGGGTGCTGATAACTGTGGCAGTAATGTGCTTGTTGTCATTTACTTGCTTAATTAGCAGCCTAATATCCTGGTCTAGCTAATGCCTATAAGAGGAGGTTTATTAGTAGTACAAAAGCAGTTTAAGCCTTATAAACTCCTTCCAGTCAGTTTCATTGGTCTGCCAATATCTTCTGGTTGAGTGATTCTTTGCTGATTCACACTTCCCCTGTTTCCCACTGCTGTTTCTCAGCTGAATGTTTCCGGGTAATCAGAAAGCCCTTTGCCAACATGACAGGCACCAGGATAGCAAAGCAAACTTGGAAATGATTTTAAAAGAGGAAAAAACCAAAACAATCTGCTGGCAACCCACCTCCAAGCTGCCTGCTATTGTAATTATTGTCCCCTTAGCTGCAAGGAGAGGAGGAACAAAAGAGCCCCCAAAATTACAGATACAGTAAATCGAATTAAGAGATGACATTTGCTTTAGCGTTGTCTGTCTTAAGAAAGAGGCTTGCATCCAGTCTGGAGCACTGAGTAACGTTCCAAGATACCTAGTTTTGGTGTAGCACTCTGAGAATGAGAAATACTCCTTCAGATATGCTAAAAAGACTTATTATTTTTAGCTCAGTTTCAGCTCAAATGCCAAAGCTAAGTGGACTAAAGGTGAAATGGCCAACTTGCCTCGATTCTGCAGCAGCATTTGATTCATTCATAAATCTGCTGCATTCATCTTTATGGCAGAATCATGGCCCCAAGGTACCTTGGCAAGCCAGCAAGGCTTCTCCACAGCTGAGAATGAGATCTGAAGTCCTGGGACATTTATCTCTAGCAATTCCCTATGCATAGAATGTAGAAGAAGCAGGTATGACCTTAGTTCAGTGCCTGAAATTAAGAGGTAAATTCCAGCTACTGTTATGTCACTCTTCCTACATCTTTGTATATCACTTGGACCTGGGTGTTGTGTACTGTTTTGACTGAAACAACGTTTTAGCACCTTCAATCTTGAAGATTAACCATTATTTTTCTGTTGACATTTAATGGAAGTGGCATGATTCTCTTACAGAATAAGCCTGTCCAGGTTGCTTTACGTGTCAGCAGGGCCTTCTGTGATGTCTTCTATGGTATGAAAACACAAAGACATTCTCAGTCTTAATTCCAGAGGTAGAGCAGTAGCACAGTGTAGCTAACCAGAGCATAAATTCAGCTGTAGTTTCCATCAGTTTCAAGAGCTGTTGCAGGAATGCAAGATGTTGAGGACTAGAATGTAGGTCTTGGTATTGAAGCAGTTTCTAATCAGATTATGAATCAAACATGGATATTCAGTGTCTGAACATCAAAAGGGTTAAGTGCCTTTCATCTTTATCATAGAATCATTTAGGTTAGAAGAGACCTTCAAGATCCCCAAGCCCAACCCCAGCCCACCCCACCATGCCCATTGCCCATGTCTCTCAGTGCCACATCCCCACGGTTCTGAAACATCTCCAAGGTGACCCCACCACCTCCCTGGGTAGCTGTGCCACTGCATCACCACTCTTTCTAAGGAGCAGTGTTACCTGATATCCAACCTTGTCCTTTCCTTTGTGTAGTCTGTTGGTTTCAACAGGCCAGTTCCTGACAGCTGAGTGTTCTGTATTTTTAGACATTATGATACACAGCCTAGCATCTTGGGGAAATTAACAGTCTTCCTAGTAGAATGTCAAAAATCAAGGTCAGTTTAGCATAATTTGGAAAAAAAAGTCCATGTGCAGGAAAATGGTGGAGTTTGCCCCTGAAGAGAAAGCACTGTAAAATTTTTGCCATACTCAATGATGGTAGTTACACCCATTCCAGCCTCAATTCATGATATCATTACTACTGTTGATGGATGCTACTATCATTGATACTGCTGATTTTTTTTTCCTCGGAGTAATTCAAGAGTGGAAAGTACTAGTGAAAAACAGAAAGAATGTTCTCATTTGGATGCTGAGAGACAGCATATGCTTACTACAGTATTCAAATAAAAATAAAACTGTAAAGGTTGCAAAATGACAAAGATAAGTAACAAAAAGTGATTATATTCTTTTTTTCTCCAGAAGAGAGGCTCCAGAGATTCCCTACAATTTAACTGTGATTGACAGTAGGAATAAGACAACCACAGTCAATTACGTCCCTGACACTCTCTCAAACTTGCATGGCTGGATGTGTCTGCTCCTGGATAAAGAGACCTACACACTGATATTTGACAGCCCTTTGGTCAGCAAGAAGCTCCAGGTAACACATTTTTTGTAATTTCTAAATTATATTTAGAGAACGTAATCATACGTTCATCTTTCTGGGTGGGCAGAGAGAAAATCTCTTTACATTTATAAGCAGAGCTCAAATGCAGTGACCTAATTCTGAAGTAACCTGGAGTAGGAATAAGGTTTTGGATGTAGTAGATTAAAGTTCAGTGTCGTATGAAGAAATTAACACAATTCATATTATCTTAAAACATCACAGTTTTCTGAAGGTATTATTCCTGTGTATCTTTTAAGGTGACAAAGGGAATTGATTTTTTCTGCATTCATCATCACCTCCTACTTAATTTTACCTACTCAGTTCCAGAGATCTCAATACATATTGCTCAGAAAAGTCTTTTGCCCATGAGGAACACTATCCCCTTTATTCCTCTTATACTACAATATGTAGAACTCTAATCCCAGAGACACGTTTATTTTGGTTCCTCCTCTAGTATTCAGTCACGTTTAGCAACTTCACAACTGGGAATTACTTGCTGGTGGAACACAAGGATCTTCCTGCCCAACTTGACGTTGTGGTGTCCTGTGGGAAGAGAACTGGACAGCCACTCCAATCTCTGCCTTCCTATGGTCATCACAGGAGCTGTGACTGGTATCTCGACAGCACACTGAGGAAGCTAACCTACTTGGGTAAGTATGATGGCAAAGCTGAATCTTTTCAGTTGAAGCCACTGGACACTATGGAGCCTTAGCCATTTGGGTCTAGCAATGGCCTTTCAGTAAGTGAGCAGTCCTTCAATAAGACCAGTGAAATAGGTATGTGCACATCCATCTGATGCCTATTCTATCAACAACTGGAATGTGTCATTAACTGTGCCTGATGTGGCATTAGTTGCATTTCAATTGGTCTTTTGGAGTGGAAAAAGCATTAAATTCCACTAATGATCTCTGGTGACAGCTGGTCCCATATCACACATATCATTTATAAACCATGCACAGTTTATCCAAGATGAGCCCACTGAAGGCAATAGGATTTCACTGTACAAAGCTTTTTCCTGTGATTGTAAACTTTCAAAAGCAACACAGACTTTTATGTATGAGTGTCAGATTTGTACATTGGATCATAAAGTGTGGTGGTCTGTGGTCTCCCCTTTAGAAAGTTCACCTATTTAATGATATTTAATGGAATTGCCAGCATCTTCAAATTTAATGTATTCTTTTATAATGCAAACAGTTTCCATAATTCCTATTCTCAAGTCACTTCTTTTAAAAAGGTCTAAGTTCTGTATGTAGGAGGAAAAATAATGATCGTTACAATCGATAATAGCAGAATCTGGAATCACAAAGGTACTTCAGTGAAGTGGAGTTCACTTCATGAAGCATAGCTTCTTGATCATCATACAAGAAAACTAAAGTTTCAAGATTCTGATTTTCACAGGAACAGAAAATTTTGTCACTGATCTGATGAATTTCTTTTATGAATTGTTCTTGGTTTATACTGTTGAGATGGAATGCAAATGACTTTCTCATGTGGCATCTACAGGGAAACATGGCTGGAATGAAGGCAGATAATCCACTAAGCTTGGTCTTTAGTAGCAATGAAATAATTTAGTTTACATTTCAGGAGACGTGAAGAGGCCAATCCCTTAACATCAGTTTGAAGGCTCACACTAGCTACATCTATCTCTGGTCCTGAGGCCAACTGGCATTGCACAGCTTGTGTCCATACAGCTTGACATTTTCTCTCTTAAAACAGGCTGGATGCACCCAGGCTTCAAATTAGGAAAGATCCCTGTCCTGTGCTAACTCTCAAATCATAATGGTCACCATCTGGGAAAGTGCATTGGTCTGGGCCAAAGCTCTGCCAGGAGCTTGGCCAGCAATATAACCTTATAGAATGTTGGGAGCTAGCTCTGAGACCCATAACTTGGCTTTATTTAGTATACTAGTACAGCTGTTGAGCCTAACTCTGGTCCAAGATCATGTTAGTTATCCACTACAAAACAAACAAACAAACAAACAAAAAGTGTTTTGTTTTAGTTTTGTTTTTAATTGTTCAAGTTTTCTAACAGCACAGATTTGTTCTTTCAAATGTGAAAGTCAAAAATATTCAGTTTGGGTATCTTGAGCTGCACTTTCATAAACAGAGCAGCATGGGAAAGCTCAGAAGATATTTCTTCACCTCTTATAATTGCTGGGGAAAGGGATGGACTTGAGAAGACGAGGAAGAGATGATCAGGCCAGCACATATCACTCTTGCATCTTAGATACATTCTTGTTCCTCATCTGCTTTCCTTTCATTTGGTTCCTATTATATGAAGAGCTCGATGCTATTTCTCATTTTGATATACAGAGAAACAATCAGAATACACCAGGGAAAATTTATGGCAACGCCTAACATGTATAAGTCATGCAGTGAACATTTTCAGCCTTGGCTAGCATTGAGATTAATAATTCAGTGTTGGGTAACTAATACCTAACACTATTGGTAGGGTAAAAGTGTGAAAGAAAGCGGGTGGATTCCTAGCCCTGGTGTGCTGTTTAATTTCTCTCCTAATCTCGTGTGTGCAGGATAAGGGAGAGGATAATTAGCCATCAGAGCAGACTCGTGGCATGTGGCGTTCCAGTCACTCAAGGTCCTTAGATGATGATCAGGCGTCCTTTCAGAGAGGTATGCTCCAGCTCTGGGAGAAGCTATTAGAACTCTCGTGGGCTGGGATTTGTGCTCTATAGGAGGTTGGAGAAGATGGCCACAATAGTCCCTTCTGGCCTTGGTACCCTACGAGGTCCACGCAGTGACTTGGAGAGGACAGCGCTTGGAGGTCTGGCCTTCAGAACGCTTTCCTACCCAACTCTGCGAGCTGTTTTTATTTTTTTAGTTACATTTAACTATATGAAATAATTGGCCAGCTAATTAATCCCGTTTACAAGCTTTGTCGGATTCTTCAGCTGTCAGTCATGCCCGAGCCTGGCGTTTAGTCTCAGCTCCCTCCTTCATGTGACTTGGTCTCCATGGCTACAGGCTGCATCTGCTGACACCCCACTCTCTATTTACTGCTTAATTAAGAATTTCACGCTCAGCCCTTATCTGCTGCTAAGAACAAGAACACACTGTTAAGAAACTCCAAATTTAGGCAGCAGCACAAGGAAAGCATTTCTTGTAGCCCTGCCTGTGTGGAGCCTCTTTAACTACCCTCTTGGCAACCGCGCTGCCACCCTTCAATCAAAAATCATTAAATGGGGCAGAGATAATGAGCATGTAGCATATCAAAAGGAGGATGTTTGCTCGGGCTAAGGAGGGAAAGCTGTAAGGGCCCATAAGCAGCCGCCACTTCAAAGGGAGCAGGGGCTGATAAAGAGTCATTTGTTCCTGTTTGACTTATGTAAAAGGTCTGGTATGTTGGAGGCCCGTCTCGCAGACGCGGGTCCCCCCTCTCGGTGCTCGTGTGTCAGCAGCCGGGCAGCTGGGCCCAAACGCCATCAGCCCAAGCATATAATCACCCGACCCCGCGCCCACAATGGGCACTTGTAGGGGGTGGACGGGGGACAATGGGGACACAATTATTGCAGCTGCTTTGGGAGGGCCATCATTCTTCCTGCAGAACGGCGTAGGGCCAGGCGGGGCGGAGGGGAGAGCTCTGGCGTATTATTCATACTCTGACTTTGGGAAGCACATCGCCGCACCGGTGGGGTTTCGACAGCTGCTTGTGTCCCGCTTCGTCCTAATAATTGTACATTCTGTCAGGGGTCAGCTTACTTTTGACCCTCTGCCTTTGTGCCCGCTGGGACGCCTTTTAGGGAGAACGGCGGGGAAGTGGCAGGGCTGCGTTACATCCAAAATGAACGTCAGTAAATACGGATCAGATGCCAGCTCATTCATGGGCAGGCTCCCGAATTCACACAAGGGGGAGGAAAAAAAAAAAAAAAGGAGGAGAAGGGGAGGGAAGACCCTATGGAGGAGGAGATATTGTTATTCAAATGAAGAGGGCAGCTGAGCAAGGCCACCTTGGCTCATGGATGACTTGGGCGTTGTGCACGCCTCCCCTGTCCAAAATTGCCCAGTGACATGCAAGTGTTTCTCTATGGGGAAGAAAAAAAAAAAGCTTGATACAAAAGGCAAGAAAACGTACCGTATGGAGGGGATTAAAGGAGTTAAGTTGACTTCATGCGTTGCTTGCTCACACTTTTGTAAATGAGACGCAGGCGTGGGACCATACAGGGGGTGCTGAATGGGGAGAAATCATTGTGATGGGGAGCATTGCTGTGATGTGGGGCACCTGTGCTGAGATCCTGCTAACAAAGGTGCTTGCTGCTACCTACATATGTCACCTCTGTTTACCAGTCCCTTTAAAAATGATCTTTTCAAACCAAGGAGAAAAATTGGCATTCAAAGAGGGAGAGCTCCAATTCCCTGCTAGTGCTAAATGAGGGAAGTGAGGACTCAGACCATCTTGGTTTGAAGAATCTAGGGAGAATCTAGTCTCTTTAGCACCATCAGCTTTGCTCTGACGCTTCTTAGTCTTTGTAGCATCACCTTTTGTTTCTCTGGGGCACCCCATGTTGTTAGAGAGGTGCTCCCCAGTGATGGTCTTTGAATTGATGTGTGGTTTCCCTTTGGGGCAGAGGAGGTTTAGGTTAGATAGTAGGAGGAAGTTTTTCCCCCAGAGGGTGGTGAGGCACTGGAACAGGTTGCCCAAGGAGGTTGTGGATGCCCCATCCCTGCAGGCATTCAAGGCCAGGCTGGATGTGGCTCTGGGCAGCCTGGGCTGCTGGTTGGTGACCTGCACATAGCAGGGGGTTGGAACTGGATGAGCACTGTGGTCCTTTTCAACCCAGGCCATTCTATGATTCTGTGATTCCCAAACGCTGTTTCAGGAGGGCGGTCTTCATGTGGAGTGACCACATTGTACCAAAAAAACCCTTCTTGTAACAGGAGAGGTGGAAAGAAACATCACACTGTGGGACATCTGGGATATTTTTAGAAGAAATGTCCTGTGTAAATGACAATAATAACATTATGAGCTTTTTAAGTCTGTTACAAATACGAGCATATGGTACCACAGCGTGGGATTGCTCCTTGGTTAAGGTCTCTGGGCAATACTGGAATTGGCTGCAAACCAGAGAGATGTTGCTTCCTTTTTGTTCACTTTTGAAGAGTTTAAACCATTTTCTTTTGGAATAAAACAAAGCATTGGCTTCCTCCATCTCTCCATCCCACATGGCTTTTTTTTGTTCTCTGAAATGGAAGCGCTTGTCACGAGCAATATTGTGAACATCTCTGGAAGGATTATCAAACTTTTTCTTGACCCCAAATGCATTTTTTCCTTAGATGCAGCTTTTACGGAGACAGGTCACCCTGCTGACTTTGCTCAGGCTGCTCATGTGTGAGTTGTTAAGAGGGCCCGAGGCCTGATCTCGTGTTACTGCTGTGTCAGAAGCAGGTCTGCAGTTTCCGTGGTTGTTCAAAAAAAGATATAATTTGATTACACTTATTGTCTTTCTGAATTCCTAGAGAATGATCTCACTTCCAGTTTGCTCCACTGTAGGGTTGTTGTAGTTGCTTCGTGTAGGAGAAAAACAGGCCCCTAAGACAGTTTGGTTCTAATATTAAAATACAGAGAATAAATGTATTTTTTCTTCAGCCTTATTGCTCAGGGACAAAGGGGAATCCTAGGTGAAAGGCTTGAAAATTGCATTAATATTTCTTTGAAGGCACTGGTATCCATCCTGATAAAATTCACCCCACATCCATTGTTTTGGATGGTCAGTTGGAGAAATGAGATAAAGAAATGCTTCCATCATCCTTTCAGCAATGGCCTTGTGAGTATGTGATGTCTGTAGCAGGAATTACATGGCTTCATCTCCATCACTAATCTACTGCAAGCAGGAATCAGTCTCTACTTGCCCAGATACTTTTTTACATCATTTCTTAGTGCTGTATCCCCAGGATACCATATTTCTGGGCACCTCCTCAAATGGTCCCAAGCAGAGGAGGGGCAAAAAATCCTATCGCAGGTTCTCCAGCTTCTAGAGGTGTGTCGTACCATGTTGTTGATTGTGGTGTCTAAAAGTTTTGATTTCCCTGTGATATATGTTAGCCCAATTGATGTTAAATAGCACAGCGGTGCTTGTTATTTGTTAGTCAGGCTATTGGAGCCATTTATCCTGGTTTCAGCCCTTCCTAATATCCACAGGCAAAATTCCCTGTCACTGCAAAGCTGATAAAAGACCAGGTTGCTCCTCCTTCACGTTCACTCAAGGAGCCCTAAACCAGAAAAAAGTTAGTCAGGAAGGCCTATATTTATGATTCACAGCCCAAGCATCCAGGAAGAGCTGTAATAAGGCAGAAAATTGATGAGGCTTATAAAGGTTTTATACAACTAAACCCTGGAGCCTTATAACTGCATTTTGTGAAGAGACACCTTAATTCAATGTTTACTAATGACGTCCTTTGCTTGTATTGCCTATATCTCTTCCTGTCCTGTACAGAAACAATGATTACTCGATAGCAAAGCAACCAGGAGAACTATGTCACCATGGTCTTGATGATTCTCAGGGCCTGTAACCTGCTTTGATTGCTTTTCAGGCAACGGAATGCGACAGGATCACGCTTGTTGCACTTCATCCTGAATCAACATTAATAATTGTGATAGCAGCTGGGCTGGGGAGAATTCAGCCCCACATTCCAGCAATGATGTGGAGGGTATAGATGGCCTATAATGGTTTGAGTTGTCATGCAATGTGGTTGGGTGACACCTCAAAAGTGAGAAGTTTTTGTTCTTTTCTCAGAAAATGGCTGCACCTAGTAAATCCTTAACAGGTCCTTTTGTCGCCGGGTACAGGATCTGAACCCCTGTATGAGATCTGTGTAGAATATTGAGCAGATTTTTTGTCCCCTGGGGATTTAATTAGGAGAACAGCTTTTCTCTGAACAATAAAAACATCTCTGATTAGACAATTGCACTGTAATGTTGGAAAAGTCAAGCAAAACCTATTCATCAAGAAAAAGGATAGTGTCAGGCTTGGTTCTCTCACTTGTCCTAACACTGCTGTGAATTGATGTAACACCTTTGGCTCCAGATTTGCTCTCCTAAAAGTGAGAGGAGAAGGAAGGACATCTTAAAGAGGATCAAAAATGGCCCTCCAAGGCAGTCAGTTGTTTCTTAGTAGCCTCCCAATCAGACTGTGGCTCTGAAGGTGTGATTTTCTTTCCCTTGCTAGCCTGTGTAGCCTAGAGGAGGAGCTCTGCCAGGGAGATTAATTTCTCCCGATACAGGTATCTTACATGAGTTTTCTAAGCCTACCCTGCTTATCCTTTATTGTCTACAGAGAGAGAAAGGTCTCTCACTACAGCATATCTCATCCCTAAGGAGTATGATAAATAACATGGATGGATATTTCTTTTGAGATACCCCCAGTGACACCATGAGGGTCCAAGCTAACTGGTCATCATTTCAAATTAGGTGAGATGTATGCCCTCTGCAAGGATTAGTGTTGGAGGAGGGAAGTGCCCATAGAAGAGTCTAAAAGCCAGATTAACTGTATGCCAAAGACTTTTAATGAGTATTTGATCCAGCAGGTGGCAACCCTGCCCATGGCAGGGGGTTTGGAACTAGATGATCATTAAGGTCCTTTCCAACCCAACTCATTCCATGGTTCTATATTCCTATGACCTTCATGTCGTTTTTCACCTTGTGGCCACCTGAGGACGTGGTGTTGTTCATTTTGAGCATCGTGTGATGGTTTGGGGTGGATTGGCTTGAGTGAACATGAGTTAGACCACAGCTAGCACTGGGAGAGAAGGTGTCGGCAAGGAACAGGGCTAAGGTACCCGATTACTAATTAATCAGATATGAGAAAAACCTCATGGAATCAGTTTCTATTTAATTATGGAAGCCTCATTTGGCATAGGAGCATATGCTGCTAACTCAATCGAGTGCTTTCAACTGACATCAAATAGTAATTATCGGAAAGAATCAAGTTTTTTGATTATTCATACTAATTTATTGAACACTTAAAATTAATGAACCTCAGTTATTTTAAATTTGCTCAGCTGCACTGGGAGAAAAAGAGGGAGGTAGGGAAGGGTTATTCTCACAATTTAAAAGTACAGAGACTTGTTTAAAGATAAAATAAGTAAATTACAATACGGCATGAAATCCCTTCGGTGGGCTGATACGTGTGTAGGAAAGTTGTGACAGAACTGAGGAAAGTTCTGACAATGGCTTTATTTATACAATTCTTCTACCCCCCAAAATTCTTCCAATGGCATTTTAGGGTCACCAGAAGGGGTTGGGCAGCGTAAAGGAGATTTATCTGTTTGGCAGAGTGTTTCTATTTTAACCTACGATTGTTCCAGTCTGGTGACTGAAAGGAAGTGCCTTTATATGCCGCTGGAGATGAAGAAGAGGTAGCCTTTCTGCTGGCTCTGAAGCAGTTTTCTTCTGCTCCTCTTAGCTTGCTTTGCATTATCCTGACCCCTCTCCTGCTGACAATATACTGGCAAAAAGGTTACAACTGTGATAATTGCTTCTGACCTCTTTTCACAGTACAGAACACAGGGTCCCTGTCTTCAGTCTATAAAGTCTGACTAATTAAAGCATCTCTTTTAGATACCAGATTTGGTGGGGGGAGGAATCAAAACCAAACTACAAAACAAAAGCTGTAATTTGTTGCTCGATCCAGTTAATACATTATGCATTCAATGGTGTAATATTGCTTGTGTTAGTGGAACTGCTGTGGATTTATAGTGGGATAAATGAGATTCATGTTCCAGCCCAGAATTTCTGATTGTTGAATGTTTTCTTTTAGCTCTTTCTAATGAGTTGTCTTGAGACCCTTAGTATCTGCAAATTAAAATGTATTTGTTTACTCCCTTCTCAAAATACAAAAAAAAAAAAAGACAAAAATGAGTTGGAAAAAACACATAGTCGTTCCTAAAAAATCTTGTCGTTAGAAATGTAAAATGTTGTCTGAAAGCCATGTGTAGCAATTCTCTCGCTGTGAATTTTTGTTGCTGATTTGGTTAATTCTTAAGGCCGTGCCATAACTCCCTACAATTCTCTGTGTTCAGTCACAGGAGCTGACTTAATTCAGTTTGAGCTGCAGGAGAAGGAAGGAGCCCCTTCACCTACATCAGGTGCGTGAGTCTCTGTCAGGAAGGTTCGGTCTGGGAGTCACACCATTTCCTTTTTACTACTTGTTCAGAACTATATTGCTGCATTTCACTTCAGTGTTTTGTACATCTATCAACCCAACAGGGGCTCTTGGCATTCATTTAAGCATTTCATTGAGCCGTATCTACCATCGCTCGTGATAAATGTGTGATTTCACATTATAAAAGACCATAAACTTTTGTTAAGAAATGCCACAGAAGATCAGGAAGGTCATGGGGAATGTAAGAGTACAGTGTATTTTAGTGCTCTGCAGTCATCTTAGTGTAATAGCCTGACATTACTGCACAGTTACACACCGAGTCAGACAGCACAATACACTGGAGATGGGGGAGACCTCCAAAACTGGATCTGAGTTTCATAGCTGCCCTGCTGTTTATTATCAACAATAATCATTTAGGTAGCAATAGGGCTTAGGTATTTTTTACAGAGCATTTTCCCCCTGAACAGATAAGTAAAGGAATACCCAGCCTCGAAGAGCTGATCCTGAGCTTCATTTCACTGTATGCTGGCAACAGAGTTTTTTCTTCTCCGCAGTGCTCTTGATTGGTTTCTAGTCCACTGCATGTAGGCATGAGTTTGCCCCTGTGTTTTCAGTGATGCCTGGTGAAGCTCCCCTCATAAAAAAATACCAGTTTCAGTCAGAGGTAGGTGCTTGCACAGGCCTCCAGAGGGAGGCCCAGTCTGCATTAGCTGGGACATGAGAAACCGTGTGTGTGCAGGACTTCCCTGAAGGCTTTCCTTCCTCTGCTGATGGCACAGCAAGCTTAAGCAATTAATTTGTAAGACCGGCTCATTAGCTGTCTAAAATGCAAGCACAAGTACCTACACTTTGTCACTTTGTGAATTTTATTTCTCCCGATGTTTTCCTGATGCTGCCGAGACTCAAAAGTTTCCTTTTGGATTAAGCTGAACATTAAAAATAAAACTTTGTAGGAGTTGCTACACGTCCCATTTAAGCTGGTGTTTCACCACAGGTCTTCGTGACCACATGCACAGCATTGCTTTTCTATGGGCTAAAAATCTAGTGAGAGTTAATTACTCATTGTTAAAAAAACTTTCATAATTCAGCATACTCCAGGAATTCAATGTGTTTTCTAGAACACTGGTGAAGAAAAATGTGTGAGAAGAGTTGACACTTTTTTGGTAGAGTTATTTACTATTATGTCCTCTAGTATTGCCACAAAAGAAGAGGTGACTGGCTTGTATCTTCGCTTATTCATTTTAACTTTGTGTTCAGAGTGCTCAGAGCCTTGGATGATGTAAGTAAAAATAATCATAGAATCATAGAATCACCAAGGTTGGAAAAGACCTCTAATTAATCCACCTGTCCACCTACCACCAGTATTTCCCCACTAAACCATGTCCCTTAGTACAACTTCTAAAAGTTTCTTGAACACCTCCAGGGACAGTGATTCAACCTCCATCCTGGACAGCCTGTTCCAGTACCTAAACACTCTTTTGGAGAAGAAATGTTTCGTAATGTGCAACCTGAACACCCCCTGATGCAACTTGTGGCCATTCCCTCTCATTCAATCACTAGTTTCGTGGCAGAAGAAGCCATTCCCACACAACATTCTCACCACAACCTCCTTTTAGGTAGTTGTAGAGAGCTATAAGATCTCCCCTGAGCCTCCTCTTCTCCAGACTGAACCATCCCAGTTCCCTCAGCTGCTCCTCATAACGCTTGTGCTTGAGACTCCTCACCATGAAGTTGTTGTTTGTGATGCATATTCACAAATCGTAAGCTAGGTGTGATGAAAAACCTCAAGATTTGCTTTGCTTTTCCTGGATCCCAAAGAATTTGAAATTGTTTTTCAGCTATCTTCCTGAACTTTAACTCCAAAAACACAGTTTTGGGAGAGAGATTTTTTTTTTCTCCTATTGGCAACTTCCTTTAGGAATGGAAGGTAACATACAGCAGTTAGTGTTGCTTCATCATTGACAAAGGGAGGAGAGGATGGTAATGCCACAGATGCTTAACTATCTCAGAAATGATAATGCTCTCAGCTACTGAAAACAATAACTCTCTCTTTACACGTCCTATTTTGTAGATCCTTCTGATTCTGTTTTGAAATGGTCGCACCCAGAGACATGGAAGGATGTGGAAAAAGGTTGGGGTGGATTCAACTGCAGCATCCCAGGTCCAGGAGAAGATGTCATCATCTTACCCAGTAAGGACGGAAATTACGGTGTTTAATTTCTGTAATGGTGCTTAGATCTCTCTACGTTAACACAGATACAGGGTGTTTTCTTTGTCACCAATGTCTACTCTAGTGTATGCAGGACCTGATCATGTTGGTCTCTTGACTACAGTAACAAGTGTGATTTTTGGAATAGAATAATATTTTCTGTTTACACATGCACGTAAACAGACAAAGTGTTACTCATGCTGATGTTCAGGCTTAAATATATTCAGGGACTTTATTTTAGGAGCAGAATCATGGGTCGTAAAGGTCTCATCTCTTGGCCTACCTCTCTGTGTTTTGTGTGGGGAGGACATCTCACATTTCCACAGTTGAGCCACCTTCCATATTGTTCTCCTATTGCAATTCTTGGTATCAGTGACAACCTCTCAGTCTATTCGCCATGAGTGCCTCCCAGATGTTTCAGTATCCGTCTGTATTTCAGCCTCAAACTTTCAGCCTTAAACTATGTTTAAATACTGACTCAGTTTACAGTTTTATTGCATGAATGCCCTTCTGTATTCTAGCAAAGATATGATGGAGCTTGCAGCAACATTTGGAGGAGAAAACTTGTGATAACCTTTTTACATAAAAGCTGACCCTGATCTGATCAGGAAGTTAGACTAGATGAGCATTTGAGGTTCCTTTCAGATTGAATTATCTTATGATCCTCCGAGTGCTGTGAACCTGACATACTCTGGGATCTGGTGCTTCTCCTCATTTCTGTGAAACTTTGTAAGTCTGTGTGCCTACAACAGTTCCACATCTGGAAATAGAGGTAATGCTGCTTCTTGTCTCTTACTCTTCCATGCGTTTCTGGCATATGAAATCAATGTGGAAAAAAGTTTCTGTTGTGTGCTGGCATTTTGGTGTGGAGTGTAAATAGCAGTTTGGACTTAATTATGTATCATTAAAAATATGTTGTCAGTGTACTAAAAAACAGGCTAATAGCCTTTAGACTTGTGTGTCTGGGAACTCAGTGCTGGGAAAACTGGGAGGGAAGAGAAGAGGTCTCAATGTAATCAGTTTAGAGTTTCTCATTTGCTGAGACAGTCGGAAAGTCTGAAAAGACAGACAGAAGGTCTGCTGATCTTTCCTTTTACTGCAAGGTCAGCATCTTTGCTCAGACCATCTCTGAGCAACTATCTGTCCTTTAGAGCAGGAAGTTCTTTGAAGAGATCGTCCAGATACAAGGATGATTGACAATATCAGTGGTCACAAGTTGTGCCAGATGAGGTTTAGGTTGATTATTAGGAAGAATTTCTTCATGGAACATTTCTTCATGTGGTTAAGCACTGAAGTGGAGTGCCCATTACTGGAAGTATGTGGACATGATGCTAAGAGACATGATTTAGTGATGGGACTCAGTAGGTCATGCTGGTGGTTGGATGTGGTCGTCTTGAAGGGCTCTTCCAGTGAAGATAATTCTGTGATTATGTAACTGTTGAGTTGGATTTTATTTTGTTTTCCTTATTATGTTTCCAGAATGTGTTCTTAGCATCAAATCTTCTACAGAAATAACTGGGAAAAGCCCTATGCATATAGCAAGAAATAATTCATATTCAGAAAAGATATGTCACACTGCCCCCTCACTCAGCTTCTTTCATGGAAACAGTTTGCATTGACTTGAAGGCTGGGTAAAAAAATTTTGTCTGAAACATTCCCATCCTTGAAATTTCTGTTAAGTTTAACAGAAACTTTACTGAAACTTTACTGTTTCAGTGTTTACTGAAACACTTTGTGAAGTTATTTTAATTAAAGTTATTTTAATTTCAGCAAATAGTTTTCCTAAAAATAAAAGGCCTTAAATATTCACAAAATTAAAATATTTTATGCTGTTCTTTTTCTTTTCAGGGAGGGAATATTTTAATGTTTTCAAACTGCAATACTGCAATATTTATTTTGAAATATACTTTTTATTTGATTTTTTAAAGCTAAAAAATGTGTCCCCAATGATGTATTTGCAAGTTCTGCAGTGTGGAGGTCTCAAATATCCAAGGACATTTCAGATGGGGCTAGATGTCTAAATTAATTTACTATGATTGATGTTTAGGCACTTCGTTCTTATCAGGTGACTTAGTTCAGGCATCATAAAGTGCTTCCTGATCAGCATTTCTACAGACCACATTCAGGAGTACCCGGAGAGAAAGCACAGCTTGCCATTAATGTATGTCCTCTAAACCATTCTGTGAAGGTGTGTATTTATTTCCCTTGTGTGCATACACAACACCATGAAAAGGCCTAGCCAGTGGGAATCTGTACCAGAACAAGGGGTTGACCCTAATCTACAAAGTCCAGGTGTGGCACCCAAAACAGTGGACTTGCTTGCTTTTCTCTTCCAACAAGCAATACTCCATATGTTGCTCCTGTTTGCCAGTGAGAAAGAGATAAAGTGTCCTTTCTCCCTGGTTCCTATGCCACTCTCACCCCTGTTGTACCTGACCCCTGATGTAGACATTAAGCAGCGATGCATTTCCTGTGTGCTTTGCTCTCTTTCTAGTGCTCTTGCTATGGATGAATTTTGCATTTTGTCCTTCCTTGATCTCAAAGAAAAAGACAAGAGATCACATTTCAACTTCTTTTGTATCACATTATACCCAGATCAACAAACACCCCAGCTTAGAACCCATGACCAAAGCATTTCAGCCTTCAAAAGCTATAACTACGTGTCAGAGACAGATATGAAGAAGCACAAGAGTGCCAATGGTAGTGGAGGCCTCTGTACTGACATTAATTAATTATATAGAGTGTGTTCCTACAAATTACAATCTACACAGAGATAAGAGATAGTAATTAAAAAAGCTTGGCTAACAGTTTGGAGTTGGATTGTTCTGATTAGATTAGGAAAGCGAAAACTGGTTGCTGAGGTTCTGATGGTCCTTTGCTGCATTGCAAATTCACCTATGAACAAACCACCTCTGTGTTTCCTGCAAATGTCAGCGGAATCCTCTTCCTAGAGTGTCTCATTTTAAGCTGCTGCATGAGATATTGACTGTAGCCTTTGTGACATACCACAAGGCTCTGTCTACATGACTAAGCTGTGCCTGAAGCATTGCACACTGCCCACAGCCCAGACCAACTGATCTAGTTCTAGAACTGGAAATAAGACTGCTGCATCAGCGTGCTGATATACCAGAACTAATTAGCTCTCCTGAGAGGCAAAGCTCGTTAGCTTAGGCCTGTTGCTGTGCAATGTGGCCTCACAGTCTTTGGGGTCAAAATTTACTGCCTGAGTGGGATTAGACACTGGGAGCTTGCAATTCTGAATTGCAGCATTCAGCTCCTCCACTGCAGGCAGTGAAACTGTCTGCTCTTCAGAGGAGCTTTACTGAGTAGAAAAACCACAACTAAGTGTTTAACAGACAAAAAGAAGGAAACAGTATGTGAAAATGGTAGGACTGGTGGACAGGCGTAGTCTGTGACCACCTTACTCCTATCAGTGATAAAAAAAACACCTTGGTTTCTATCACTAGAATTGAGATGTGTGATTAGCAGGCGTGCAGAAACCCTTCTCCTCACCCTTCCATTTCTGGAATTGTTTTTCTGTTTTAGCCCAAGAATAGCAACGTGAACACGAACACAAATTTGTCCATCACCTGAACTCTCTTGAGAAAGAACTACTCGATTGCTCATCTGTCTTTTCTGATTACCCTCTCCTTGCTTCCTGCTTTCTTTCTCCTCTCCTCCTCATTCTTTTTGGCTTGGAGATGTTGAAACTTGTATTGGTGGTGGGAGTTGACAATGTGCAGTGTCTTAAATTGGAATCATAGCCATTATTAGTGTGACAAGTGCACCGTATGCTCAAATGAAAGCACCTAAAACGTGACGAGGCAAGAAGAAATTTCAGTCCATTTGTCATACCTTGCTTTGCTGCCACGACCATGTATATGAGTTTCTAGTTGCAAGAAATGTGAGGTCCTTGCTTGGATCCAGAATCTAGAATGAAATAATTAAGAGCTGTTTAATCATGGCAATTTATTCACGTTTCCCTTCCCATTTCACAGAATCATAGAATCATAGAATAGCCTGGTTGCAAAGGCCCACAATGCTCATCCAGTTCCAACCCCCTGCTGTGTACAGGTTGCCAACCAGCAGCCCAGGCTGCCCAGAGCCACATCCAGCCTGGCCTTGAATGCCTGCAGGGATGGGGCATCCACAACCTCCTTGGGCAACCTGTTCCAGTGCCTCACCACCCTCTGGGTGAAAAACTTCCTCCTCATATCCAACCTAAACTTCCCCTGTCTCAGTTTTAAACCATTCCCCTCTGGATCCCTCTGTTTCCCCCTGCTCCCGGATCAGGGTGCCCAGCACCATGGCCAGGGGCTGTGGGGGATCTCCAGTGAGCAGCCTATTTTAGCTACTCCTAATTATCTGTTTTGGAAACTATCCACAATGATTTTACAGCTTGAAAGCCAAGTCCTGGGCCTATTTCTGATATGCTCTGCATTACAGTGTCAGTCCTCTCAGCCCTGAATGAACAGTTTTAAAAAAAGCGAGTAATGGGTGTTCAGATCTTGTTTCTAGTGCAAAGAACTGCAGTGGGGGACTTTGATCCAGATCTGACACGGTGCTGAAATCTCTGAGTGAATCTGAAGAGTTGGAAATAAGGATGAATATGAAGGTCTTTTGGTTTTGCCCTGTTTGAAAGCATTGGTGAAACTCAGAAGTTCTTGCAGCAGAGGTGGGTCCCTCCTGTTAAATTAACTTTTAGTGCTGGAGTGCTGCAAGTCTCCTTAGTGTCTGACTCCCCTGAAGGTCTAAGTCTCTTCCAGCTGGACAACTTTGGCTTCAGGAATGTGTGTTGTTATCTCTGAACCCTCCAGAGCTGCAGCCATCCCGCAAGGACTTCTTGGATTCACCACACAGGCTTGGGCAGCCTCTGCACCTTGAAAAACAAGCTGGAGGAGTTTAGTCATGCTGGTCTGGCAGCATTAGCTTCTCAAGCCCTTGGATTTTCAGGGCTTTGGTTTATGGTTTTCAGTGTGACACACTCCTGACGCAGCGCGCTTGGGGTTGGAAGGAGAATGTGTTATAATTCCAGCCGATGGAATGCTGTTTTGAAGGGTATTGGTATGATATCATGTAGCCTCTGGCAATTTCTTTTTCTTCCTCTTCTTCTTCTTCTTCTTTTTTATTTTTTTTTTTTAGTGGTGGAATTCACTTTGTTATTCATTTTCTGATTTTGATTTTCTTTGAACTTTTTCTGTTTGAAGAGATGAATGCTGGAGTACTGTATCTCATATAATAGCTCTTCTGTTGTGCCTGATTTCCATTCAATGGCATGCTATGGTGTTTTATAGTGCAATACAGTTGATCAAAGGCATTTTGTGTCAGTGCCGGAGTCATTAGCGAGTTCTCAGTGTGGTACATCTGAACATTAAGACTGTAGCATACCTGTGAGCTTTTGTGTAGAAGAAAATATATGGATAATGAAATGTAGCCCTGTTTTCAGGCTTGAACTATCGCTTTCCAAAAGCGGTTGCTTGCTATTATGACAATGTCTTTATTGGAGAATAGCCACTCAATTTTGTCTTTCTGTGAAAGTAAATCTCTTGAGCTCAGTGACTGAAGGTTTATGATTTTAACCCCTTTGTAGCCATCTCCTTATAATACATGACTGAGCATATTCTGTACGGACTGTGTTCATCCTGAGGCCTCCCTTGAATCTGTTTGTCTTCCTCAAGTATGCAAGTACCTGTTTGGCTTGAAAGAGCCTTCTCTTATCTCTACAGAGCAACATTTCCCCCTCTGAGAACTTCATACCCCAGGCATCACACCCTGTGGCTCTATTCAACTGAGGAAACCCCAGGTTTGCAGAGATTTCTTTGGGAGAATTTCATATAACTGTGTTTCAGGGCTCACATGTATGATGCTACAGTTACAGAGAGGCCAGAATTTCCTCCAGGAAACCTTTTTTTAGAAGGATGTGCAACTCAGCAAAAAATACCTGTTCAAGACAGGAACCTGACATATAAATAGTATGCCTAGGAGCCCTTCTTTTCCTTGTAAAAAATGTTTCAGTCTGTGTTTGATGAGTATACTTATGGCCTTTGTCAGCTGCAGCTTTTTGCCACATTCTCGAGCTGTGATTTCACAAACTAGATACCCGTTCTTTGTGAGAGATATCAATTTAACAACATCTTTCTCCTTATTCTCTTCTCTCTGTTCCGTATCCTCACATACTGTGCCTAGCCTTCTCAGCTCTGCAGGGCATAGGACTATACCTGTCCTGTAACGAGATTATAGACAGGAGTTTCTTCATGCCTATGAAAATATACTGAGTCTATCGGTATGAGATTTAGAGAAAAAAATGTTGCACTTGCATTTGCTCTATAGAGACTTGTTACGTCGGAATGCTGTGAGAATGTCACATGCTTGAAAGATGCTTCAGCCCGAGGATGCAGGGATTTTGTTTTTGACATGGAGTGTCCTGAGTGACCATGGACAGCTGCCCTGCTTGGCGTAGGCTTTGAGCACGGAGCAACCAACGTGTCCCTTGCAGATATCCAGAGAGAAAGAAGGAAAAAAAAAAAGGAAAGGAAGACTGGGAAGACTGAATTATAAGGACAGTGTGTTAAGAAAGGATGAGCAAACCTGTAAGCAGACCCAGGTCCCTCGAGCACGCAGTGGTTCCCTCTCCCCACACACCTTTGACACATGAGGACTGCAAAATCAAAGGATCTGGGCGTGCTAACATTGAACCAACCTACTCATATCGTTGCAGTTCCCTTCTGTGCGTGCTTTGTGTGGTTTTGTATTTCCTGCAGATAGTCTGAGAAGATTTAACAAACCTTCACAATAAATGGCTCACGAGTTTCAGGTGGCCCATTCACACTTCTTTGTCAAAGGCCATTGGAAAATGTGTGCTTCTTAATCTCTCCTGTTTTCTGTAGCTGTGCCTCACAGTAAATGCGCATGATATCAAAGGAAGACCACAGGAAATCTCTGAGTAGGATTTGGCAGCTGCCCTTATGTTGACATTAGACATTTTCTACAAATTATTTTTATTAAGGCCACAATCCTACAGGGGACTTCTGCTCCACATTAAGAATCTGAATGGCAGCATCTCATCGAACCCTTCTCCTCCTTGCAGGCGCATCTGCTGTGTCTCTGAGATGCACCATTCCAGGAAGCTGCTGCTCTTGTTGATAACGAAAGGAGCTGAGCGCTGCAATTTAAGGGTCTGAGGTGGTTTCCAGTGAAAAACCTCCCAATGACATTAAAGAACATTAGATGTGTCCTGAGGGGGGAATTCACCTCCGTGTGGTGGACTACCATTAAAATATGCGCTGTTTAAGTCCTACTCATGCCCTCCAATGAAAGCTTAATTGGCATTTGGATGGCTCATGACTGTAAATTTGCACATTTGGGGGGCAGCAGTGATGTCATGTGCTCAGCCAATGCCAGTCCAAAATTAACAGAAATAAGCGAGCTCAGGAAATCATGAATTGATCTCCAGTGATATCCAATGCTGTAATGTACTTCTAGTATCAGCTTGGTCGAAGTGGGGATCAAGGAATTTGGAAATGGGGTCAGAAGTGACTCACATTCCTTACTTTGTCCTCCAGTAGCTGAGGGAACCACGATTCCCCTGGTTTCTGTCAACCAACCAATTAACAGGGAATGCGATAGTTTTTCACTTCATTCATTCTTGTTCTCTGCAATATCATGAGGGAAAAATATTGTCTGGACAGCTTAAATCATTCACATTGTATTAGTTGCATTCACATTGTATTAGTTGTATTCACATTGTATTAGTTGATCAAGATTTATTTTCACAAACAGAACCAGCCTCACGCAATGAGATTGGCTTGTCTCCAACTTGCTGCCACTCATATGCATTCTTAATGTTCAAATGTGACATTTGATGAGACTTGTGCATGCAAATATGAAGATAATATTACAAATATGATGTTATTGTTCATTTATCAGATTAAAGTAATACCATTTATCAGATTAAAGTAATACCATCCTCAGCTTCAGATGAAGCTTTGGCTGTGGAAGTTGCACAAACACACAAGCCCTGTTCCAGTTGTTCTGATTGCAAATTTATATAATCTAATCTCAAGAAAAGCAAACGTTTCAAGCTTCTCCACTTTCATACTTACATTCCAAATCACTTTCTGCTTTGTTTTTCAGACCGGACCATCCTGGTGGACACAGATCTTCCTCCTCTAAGAGGTCTCTATGTCCTTGGGACTCTTGAGTTCCCCACCAGCTCCAGCAATATCCTGAGTGCAGCTTGTATTGTGGTTGTGGGAGGTACACTAAATGTGGGTAAGTGAGCAGCCTGTCTTGGGGATACCTGGAGTTTTATTTCTATTCTTCATGGACAAGAAAAGAAGAAAACCTTTTGGTTTAGGAACCTGCTAGTCATTCTTTTACCTCTTTTCCCAGGTAATAGAGATAGGAGAAGAGATAGTGGCTTTCAATTGTGCCAGGGGAGATTCACGTTGGATATTATGAAACATTTATTTTCAGAAAGGATGGTAGTGCATAGGCTGCTCAGGGAATGGTGGCGTCACCATCCCTGGAGGTGTTCAGGAACCCTGGAGATGTGGCACTGAGGGATGTGGTCAGTGGGCATGATGAGGGTGGGCTGGGGTTGGACTAGGTGATCTTAGATATCTTTTCCAACCTGAATGATTCTATGATTCTGCTTCTGCAGTATCTATCTGGGTGTTAGCAGTGTGGACCCTCAGAATCCACATTAACTATACAAGGATTATCTGCTGGAACTAATTACCTGCTCATTTAATAGCATCATATTACAACTGCTGCGGTCCTTGCTCCACTGAAGTCAATAGCAAAACTTCATGGTGGCTGAGATTTCATCTAGAGCTTGTGAAAGTCCTCCCTACTTCACGTGGGGCTGCTTCGTAAGACAGTAATTCCTCTGGGCAGGTTCTTATTCAGTGTTCAAGCAGTTCTTGATGTTGGTGAGGCTTTTAATTGTTGTAACAGAGATATTCAAAGCCAACACAAACAAAAGGTGGAAAAGCATTTTATCTGAAAATCTCTCCATGTCGTACATTTGGCACAGCTGGATTCAAAACATTTGTTCTTCTCAACCCACTCTACAGGTGAGGTGCTACCTGACCCCTAATTCTAGTGTTTTCAGAGTCCCCAGTATTGCTGGGGCTGTTCCATATTACTTGCAATGGACAGCTCAGTGTTTTTCTGTACAGAAGTTATTAAGCAGTTCCCTTTAAATATCAAGGTTCCTAAAACCAGGCATTGTATTTACTTACAGGAATCCTTAGAACTCTGGGATCACATTGTTGATCACTGTCTGACCTTTCTCAAGATTGGTTTCATGAACTTTAAAAAGATAATTTGTTTGTGAACTCCAGTATTTGTTTGTTGTTAATCTCAAGGGACTGTTTAGTTAATACAGCAGTGGCCAAAAGAGTAATTTTGCTGCCTCGTGTTTTCTATTTAAAAAAAAAAAAAAAAAAGGGTTTGAAAGCTAAATCTGGGAGGTTAATGTATCTATATACTTAAAAGACTCTCAGTCATTTCTTAGTTCCAACCTATGGTACTTTAAATGTGGTTTCATATTGGTTTTAAGAAAAAGCATGTGTTCACTGCTAAAAAGCTTATTAAAAAACATTGAAGCACTTAGCTGCACAAAGTCCCCTGCAGCATATCTGTGACTAGTCATGACATTAAAAGCCAAACAGGTATTTGCAGCTGTTGAATCATAGTCCAGCTTCTTCTGGAGAGATGCCCTTGCTCCAGTTTGAGCTGCGAAGATGATAGGTGGGTAGAAACCTCAAGTTTCCAACATCTTTCACTGGCTTCTATGCTTGCTTCTCAAATTGGGATTGCATGTGTTTTCCCTTCTTCTTTCTCTTCCCATGTGTTCAAGGCCTAAAGGTAGCTTTTTGGAGCCCATCTGTCCAATCCTGGCTGTTCCATGCCTGAAGGAAGGTTCTGAAGCCCATCTGTCCAATTCTACCCCACCCTAAAGAAATCCTGACACAAAGTAGATAATGAGAGAGTTTAGTAAACAAATTTAATAGATGTGGACATCAGCATTCAACACTGTCTGAGCAGGATCTGAAGTTGACATCACATGATCCAATTTCCTCTCTGTTGTGTAACATCTCCATGCCCTGTTTTTGGCATGGGAATCTTTGGCCTTGTAGTTGCTGCAAATCCAGTGTGCCAAACCAACACTTTCAGGCAGTATGAGTATTTTGTTCACCTCAGCTGCTAGAGAATGATGATAATCTCTGGAAACACAACTTACTTGTATTTTGATACCCTTAAGAGCACTTGGCATCTTACTTTCAGGTAAAAATGAACTAAGTCAGGTGGTTAAAACATAATTGTAAGAAATTCAGTGACATTAGAAATATGTAACAAAGGAAAAATCAGTGTAAAAGTGGAGTTTTTGAAACATCAACCAGATCCAAATCAATTTTGCTAAAACAGTAATTTGTACTAAAACTGGAACGGAAGATACAGCAAAAGCTGGGAGATCAAAACTTTTGGGACACCTTTGATCTTGGAGAGTCCATCATCTGTTCTTCGGTGTGTGGCATAATCTGTGGTCAGTTATGATCAATAGAATCACAGTGAGCTTTGAGATGATTCATGCACTGGAAAGGGTTGAAAAACCTCTATTAGAGCCCTGAGACAAACAAGAAGTAATGCGTGGGTCTATCTGCAAAGTACCTTCTTGGAGTGATCCCAGCCCCTCAGCATTGTTGGACTCAGGGTGATCTGATGATGTTATCAGCAGTAACATTCAAGAAATACCATTTATTTTTACCTTTCTGAACTGGCATGCCTTTAAAAAAATAATTATTTTTCCAATCTATAACAGAAGAGATGGAGATTCAGAGAGACTAAGTGATTTGCTAAATACAAAATGCTAAAACTCAGTGCACAGTTTTAGACGAAGAAAGGTAATGCTGATCTCAATGTACCAGATGTCCTTTTTAGGTTCTGTACTGGGATGGTTGCGTCCATTTTAACCCAAGTCAGCAGCATAGAACAGACAGCACGCATAGAAATTGCTCTCTTCCTATGCTGAAAAAATTCTCAGCTCTTGATAAGGCTGTAGAAGATGCTGGAGAACCTTTTGTACACATTGTTCTGTTGGATTCATCCTGATTTCTGCTGTGCTCACCCAGCTTATTTTTTGCTTTTTGTAGTAGAACCCACTAAGTAATTACCTAGATAGAATTGCTCTTTTCAGTCTCAACATGTCACATTCTTCTTTTTTTGCATATCTCATGATGGCTGCTTGTCAATCTTGGCACTCATTTGAGGCAAGAGGCCCCATCCCTGGAGGCATTCAAGGCCAGGCTGGATGTGGCTCTGGGCAGCCTGATCTGGTGGTTGGTGACCCTGCACATAGCAGGGAGGTTGAAACTAGATAATCTTTGAAGTCCTTTTCAATCCAGGCCATTCTATGATTCTATGATATGTTAATGATGATTAATGCTCAGCCTCATATGGACAACTGAGGCTCAAGAGAGTCTTACCAAAGGACTTTCTTCTCCAGTTTCCCCATTACCTCAGTTGTGTGGGTGCCATGTTCTTTAGTTGTGAGCTCAGAGTCCCATCTAACAGTCCCATTACATCCCTGTGCAGCTTCTGTTGAACATGGAATACTATGGATACTTCTGCAAGAAGTTTTTCATCCCAGATAAGAGAAAAAGCATTTTGAAATGTTCATTGCACCATCTGCATCTCCTTCATTTCATCTCACAGCTTTCATCTCTTTGTTGCTTGCCCTTTCCAAGCCATTGGTTTCTTTCAACTGATAGTATCAATCTGGGGTAGAGATTTGGTTTGCATGCTTAAGGCACTTATGTTTACTTGTTACATGTGGACATCAGCCTGTGAGCTGCTTCTGTGGGACTGCTCGGTATGGTTATCTAGATTAAAATATAGCCTAAGCTGCACTGTCTGATCTTTGTTATCTCACATGCTCAGGGAACAAAGATTCACCTACATGAAGAAACCACAACATAGTCCATTGAATCATGGGATCATTAGATTTGGAAGGGACCTTTAAAGAGCGTCTGGTCACATTCCCTGCACTGAACAGGGACACCCACAGCTCCATCAGTGCTCAGAGCCCATCCAGCCTGACCTTGGCTGTCAGCAGGGATGAGGCATATGAATCTCCCTGGGAAAACAGTTCAGATGCCTAAATATAGGGACTTTGAGTCACTTAGGGCATGCTCAGGAATCCTCTGTTCTCTTGTTGATCCATGTCTCCTATCTGTCATGCTGGATTTGAGGAGGTCTAGGGCTCTCAAATGGCATTAGGTGTCCATATTTTGGCAGCTGAATCTCATCCTACATCTCACTTATTCATCTCTCACTTCTGGCTGCTGGCTGCAGCTCTCCCTGTCTGCCTCTTATCTCTTCTATTTGTTTGGCAACAGCAGCTATAAGAGGCAACGACACGATGCCTCCTTTGTACAGCTTCCTTGCAGAGTGTAGCCTGGACATCTGAAGAAATGGTTTGTGAAGGATAACCAACGCTATGCACTGACCACAAATAAACATTCTGCAGGTCTTCTGGTGACAATACACCACCGTTACCGAAATAGCTGGTCAGGCAGAGTCCAAGAAGTTTTGGATATGGAAACACAGAGCTTCTATTGGAGAAGGTCACAGCAAGATGCTTAGCAAAGTCTGTTTACCGATAGAAGGGAGGGAGCCTTATCTCAGAGAATTCCTTGCTCTTATATGCAACAGCTGTTGCAGAGTGTTATGTTGTAAATAAAAGAAAGGTTAGAAGACAGGAAGCACCCACTATTCTGAGAAAGAATTGAATGGGATTTGCTGTGGAAAAATAGAGAAAAGAAGCATTAAAAATTGTCAAGAACATCTGGAATCGGAGTAAAATACGAAAACAATGGAAAATTCTTTTGAAATGCAACAGAAAACTAAATCCAGAGCGAGTGAAAATCTGGGTAGAAAAAATATACCCTTCTCTCCGTTGTCTTTTTTTTTTCCTATTTTCCTATGATATTTTTTATATATTGTGCCAGTTTTCCCTGGAAGAGCATCAATTTAGACCCTCTTTGTGGAAGTGCACAAACCCACAGTCAGACTGTGTGATGTGACATCAAGCACCAGGGAGACTGGGAAGGCACACTGTCAACTGTGTGGTGCCTGTGAAGGCAGCCCAGCTCTCTGGCATCAACATTCACTGCACTGAAGAAGTGGAAAAAATATTGCTTGGGAGCTTTGCCCAGGCTGATCTGGGCAAATTAGCAAACTTTGCATCCTAGCTGCAAGAAAATGTGTGTTTGAGAAGGTCCTGCCTACTTGGACAGGCTGAGGGAGCTGGGCTTGTTCAGCCTGGAGAAAAGAAGGCTGCAGGGTGACCTCATTGCAGCCTTTCAGTACCTAAAGGGAGCCTACAAACAGGAGGGGAATCAACTCTTTGAAAGGGTAGATAACAGCAGGACAAGGGGAAATGGTTTTAAGTTGAAGGAGGGAAGATTTAGGTTAGATAACAGGGTGAAGTTCTTTCCTATGAGAGTGGTGAGGTGCTGGAGCAGCTGCCCAGAGAGGCTGTGGATGCCCCGTCCATCCCTGGAGGTGTTCAAGGCCAGGTTGGATGGGGCCCTGGGCAGCCTGGGCTGCTCTGAAATGTGGAGGTTGGAGGCCCTGCCTGTGGTGGGGGGTTGGAGCTTCATGATCCTTGAGGTCCCTTCCAACCCAAGCCATTCTGAGATTCTATGATTCAGCATATGCTGGCATTATTCCTTCCTGAGCTTCTCTGCTCTTCTCACCAAACAGTTCTGTTGGCTTCTGGTTGCAATTACCCTTTTCTCACCTCTCTGCCAGCTGTGCTTTATCATCTCACCTTATGATCAACCAGGCTGTCGTCAAATTGGCAAGCCAATAAGGGGTATGGAATGGGATCCATTGCTCTGCGTCTGATGTGCAGGATGGGTAATTTGAGAGCTCGATGTGACTTTCTGTAAGGCTTACTCACCACAATAAAGCGGCGCAAGTAACTTGAAGTTCTCACATCCAGAGTTCAAAGACAGCACTTAAACCCAGATCCTTCACATGTGTGTTGCAGAGATGACGATTCCCGTGTGCATAGCAACTTTTTTTTTTTTTTACCAAACTGTCTTATTACAAAAGCTGTGATTTCCTAGGTCAGTTATTTAATATGATCATGAAAGTTATCCTGCCCTGTGACTTTTGAGCATTAACTGTTTTGGGTTTTCCTTTGAGTAATCTGAGGGAGCTTTTCAAGACCTGTTTTATCACATTTTGAATGTTCTTCACTTTCTCCCCTATATTCTTCTGTTCCAAATTATCGTTGTGTTAGCTTCTCTTTTTTTCCCCCATGTGTGGCAACTTACCTGTGTACTTCCAGTCCCTTGATACATTTTTGGGGCACTGACAAATTATCACATACCACAGTGGTTGCGGGACCATACAGACCTGCTTGAGCAGAAAGTCCTATTTCAGTCAGTCAGCCTGGAAGTCAATGTGTGCCATGTTCTTGTCATACCAACGTAGTTTGTTAATCAGAAAGTTTTGTGCTACCAAGTCAAATGCCTTGGGGCAGCCAATTATATCAAAGCTATTATCTTTATCAACTAAACCTGTAGTCTCACGAGGTGATAACAAAGCAGTTTCACAGGACCTATTTTCTATTAAGCCACGTTGATTGGCATTAATTATATCGTCCCCCTTTAACGATTTATTAATTGTGTTCAGAGTTGGACATTCCATTTTTATTTTTATTTTTTTCCCCCTAAAATCAGTGTCAAGTTGACCGGGCTGTAATTACCTGGGGCTCTTACTTTTATCTTTCTTTGAAATATTGGCACAATTGTAGCTTTATTCAAGTGCTCTGAGACATTGTCAGTGATCCAAACTTACTGAAAAGTCCACCTTAGTAGTTCAGTGAGTTTCCAGGCCAACTCTTTGGTATTCTTTGCATTCATGTTACTTACACTCGTTGACTTAAGACTGTTAATGGAAATAAGCAACGTTGGGATTATTTTTGTTCTAAATATTTAGAAAACAAGTCAATTTTTTTCTAGTCATAGACACGTCCTGCATTCTTTTATGTACTGTACTGTTAACAGTTTCCAGGCAACTAATCATTCCTATGAACATCATCTTCCCTTTTTGGATTTCTTTTTGAAGGATTTAATACGAAGATGAGTAACCATGAATTTTTATTGTAGCTGCTTTGTTTCTCACTCTGAGTTGAGAGAAAGAGAGATTTAAACAAGGGCAGCATTTCCTAAAATATTGCAATGCTTTTTTAGGCTTAAAAAAAGAAAAAAAAAAAAAGAATCACAAATTTTAGCTAAATGTATATATATTTCTTTTTAAAGAGTCATAACTTCCAATTCAAGGCTTTAAAGTTCACATTTCCAAACTTTTCTCTGTGATTGTTAAGCCTGGAAGCCCACTTAAAAATTGTTTTAAAGTCGAGCTGAGAGTTGAATATATTACAGAGCCATTTTTAATTGACTTAATTAGAAAAAATATTAAGCTCTTCTTAACCAGCAGTAAAATAATAACACTAGTGATAACACGAATAATAATTCATAATGATAAAAACGCCCTAATTGAAAAGGGTTGTCATTATGATTAGGAAAAGGTAATTGTGAATACCTTCATAACATCAGCATTAACTTCCCTAAATATTTTCACTGAGTCTTTCTTGGGTCACCATCGTAGCTGATAACTTCATCACTGGGGGCAGGGTTGACCTGAGGACCAGGGAAGGTATGTTCAGGGTGAGTATTTCAAATCACATCTTGCTGGGAGGGTGAAGCCAGGAAAACAATCACCCTGGGTACAAAAATAGACACAAACGTCTGCGTAACTCTTTTGCAGCTCTAGCTGGATGTTTGTTTAACCTAGTGCATCAGTGGTAAAAGTCCTTGTCGCATGTTTTCCCTTCTGAAAGTAGTATTTGCCTATGGGAGATATGGGAGTTTAAGCAACAAAGTCAAAGATGTGTTGGATGGATGATGGACACTGCATATGTGAATTCCCTCCCTGTCCCCAGAGCAGAAATAAGCTCACTGGGATGAGATGTGCTGGATGGAGAGCGTGCAAGTCTTGTGCTATTGGTCTTTTATCCTTATAAAACTGCGCAGTGAATTTAAATGCCCACAGATATCAGTCAGACAGTGCTGGGGAACAATGAATTTATTTATTGATTTCAATTAATTTAAAAACACTCTTTAAAAGGAATGTTTCTTTAGGATACAAAATCAGCTATCTTTTCCAAACTAGTAATTTTTAAATATTAAAAGAAGATGACAGGCCAGCTAATTTTGTACAGATATGTATATATTTTTTAGTTCTACATCTGCTGCAGTTTTCTGTTGCATAATTGATTTAATCTCTAATTTTAAAGGAATGCTGAACTCTTTTACTGGACTCCGCATACATTTCTCCAGGGCAAAAACTGTCCTACTTTTTCCTCCCTAGTATCTGTTTAATGTTGGGCCATTTTCTTCTGAAACTGTAAACTACCCTTGGTGAAATAAATGAAGTCACAGTTGGAATACAGTTTACTGTACAGACTTATCACAAGATAAGAGCAACATCACACGCACCAAAACTTCTTGGGTATTTTCTTTTTCCCTCCACTAATAAAATCTTTCAATTGGTTTGAAAGGCTGTTCTTAGCCATCCTGGCTGCAGAATGGGAACAGTTATCTCGGAATTGGTGAAATTTTAAATGAGCAGAAAGGGAAAGATGAGTGGGGGAACGAAATGTTCAGTGATCAGGGAGATGAATGAGAACCTCCTGTCTTCACACACTCATTGCTTGACCTTGGGCAAACCTGTCTGGGACTCTAAATTTAGATTCAGCTCTCCATTCCCTTTTAATTTAAGCACTTAACTGAAATGTCTGAGTTTGGAGCAGTCTCTCCAGGCTGCCTACAAGTCAGTGGAGAGACTGCCACTTCCAGAGTGCAATTCAGGCCATATAGGATGTGTATGAGTCACCCGATGAAGGAACTGCTCTTTCTCTCTCTTGACTCCAAGGAAAGCCTTGGGCATGCATGATCCTAAGTTAAGAGATGTGGACAAAATGTTTCCACAGACACAACTGGCATTCTTCATGTTCAGCTTAGCTCCTAGAGAGACCTCTGGCAGGGAGCAAGGTGCATGCAAACCATTTCCATGAGACAAGGGAGAGCACCAGTGCAGCATCACAAAACCATTGATACCTCCGTGGTGGGTTGTTGCTGTTTTCTCTTTATTTCAGGTTCTTTTCAACATCCTCTAGAAAGGGATTCAAAGCTACTGATCATTCTTCGGGCATCTGAAGGGATTTACTGTGATCATCTGGAGGAAATAAATGTCCACCCAGGGAGTATTGGTATGAGACATGAGTATAACTCTTTACAGCATACCAGTCTTAGGCAATTGCCAAGTCTGCTATTGTTGAGACTATTACTGTGCCACACAGAAGAAGAGAACGTCTTACAAATGTACATCCATACTTCTGAGGTAAAACAGTTACCAGGTCAGTTCCTAAAGTTGTTTGGACAATAATTTGTTAGGACAATAAGCAAAAAGATGTCCAGTTTGGAGGTCTTCACATGAGAAATGAAGGAGCACAATCATAATAAACATTAGCCTGGTCACTCTGCATCCAGTTTCATTTATAAATATAAAACATTTGTTTAAATGGCTGGTTTTATGAGGGTGGATAGTGATAGGACAAGGGGGAATGTTCTTAAACTGAGACAGGGGAGATTTAGGTTGGATCTTAGGAGGAAGTTTTTCACCCAGAAGGTGGTGAGGCACTGGAACAGATTGCACAAGGAGGCTGTGGATGCCCCATCCCTGCAGGCATTCAAGGCCAGGCTGGATGTGGCTCTGGGCAGCCTGGTCTGCTGGTTGGCGACCCTGCACATAGCAGGGGGTTGAAACTAGATGATCTTTGATCTTGATCTCAAAGAATCATTCAGACCTTCAAACCAGGCCGTTCTATGATTCTGTGATTGAAAGACTTAATTCAGTGGTGGACTTTCATGTTCCATGATCAACAGCAATTTCTAGAATCTATATTTGTAGAATACTACAGCAATCAAACCCCACAGTCTACATGTGACAATGACACTAAGAAACTGTTGCACACACTGAACAGGAAATTAGAAACCTAGCAGATGAGTAAGTGGAATCTTCAGAAGGCAAGACAGAAACTTAACTTACATAGGAAATTAATTCTGAAGGGTTCTTTAAACTCTAAAAACTTAGGAGGTGAAGTTTAGCTGTGGCTAACAACATATGACTTTTAATCATTTTTTAGGGCATCATTTTAAGGGCAAGAATAGCAGGCATACATTGCTGGAGTTTAGCATGTTATCATAAATCAAATAAGACTTTGTAACTGTCCATCCTATCATCTTAAACCACTACAAATGAAAAGTCAGAGGAGGTATTTCTTTGTGGGATAAGTTGCATTACCTGAGTTGCATTACCAATACTTGCCACTGTCTTCACAGAATCACAGAATCACAGAATTGCCAGGGTTGGAAGGGACCTCAAGGATCATGAATCTCCAACCCCCCTGACACATGCAGGGCCACAACCATTCCACCTAATGCTAGACCAGGCTGCCCAGGGCCCCATCCAATCTGGCCTTGAAAACCTCCAGGGATGGGGCATCCATCCAGTCTTCTTTAGGACTGCTGTGACACCGACTGTAGTGACTTAGTGAGCATGGTGGTCATGGGTTGACAGTCTGGTCTCTTCTAACCTTAATGATTCTATGATTCTGTGACATAGTATGTCATGAAAAAGTTATCCAAGTGGGACATTAATCTAAGCACTAAAATGGAGGCCAGCAAGCCCTTTCTTGGCTTTATGTGCAACAGTTGTTTTAAACCTTAATTATTTATTTCTGCTTTAGTCTCTTTCAAGTTATGTGCTGTTCGTACACTTCTTGTGAAATATAGGAAAATGCTTTAATATATAGAGAGGTTTCAATATATTTAGTCACTCAGTATTTCCCTAACTTTTGCTTTCTATTTTTTTCCAGGGGTTTATGGGAAGGTGCAAATTTATAGCTCTTATCCTGGGAAGTCTTGGACGCATCTTGGAGCTAGTGTTGCTCCTGGCAATGAAAGGTGATCTTTTGCCCAAATATGGCTCCAAACGAAGTGCAAATTCCCATTTCTGTGGCTTATACTAATATTTCTCTTTTCCTTTGTGATAGACACTGTTTAAACTATGTCTAGGTAGAAGACCAGTTATGTGTGGCTCCTTGCAAGAAAATTATACAATTTTTAGATTCAATTCTAAAGAGGAACAAAGCTAAGAGATTTTTTATTCCCTCTGTCCTTCCTTCCTTCCTTTTCTCTGTTCTTCCATCCTTCTCTCTGTCTTTCCCTTCCTCCTTCTTTCCCTGTGTTTTTCCTTTCTTTTTGGATGAAGTCCTCAATGGCCGATATCTTGGTGATTAGGATGTTCATTTTGACTTGAGACTTACATATGTATTTCATCTCTGAATTAAGCAAAATTGAGAAATCGGTGCTTCAGTAAGTATTGTCTGCAAGTAAGCATTACTTATGTGAATCATAATTTCTCCTGAGAAATCTTTTTTGTACAAGTAGTGAATTAGATCAGAGTATAGAAGGTTGCCTGTACAACCCAAGGAGTAAGGTATTTGAGATGTGACCCTTTCAGGATATGTATTTTTCACTTTTCTGATATAGTTTTGATTTCTACCTTCTCTCTCCCATTGCAGCACCTCCATAACTTATTACAGCTGGTGCAGCAGACATCACTACATGGGCCTATTTCAGTAGGAAGGCTTTGTCAAAACCACATCTTAAGGCAGATTAAATGGAGCTACTACAGCTGCTTGGTAGATGAATATGTCTGCTGCCTGAAGTTCAAGCTTTTGATCTAAGCCAGACAATGTGTTTGCATAAGAATCTTCCCTCTAAGTGTCTTGACCACTCAGTGTTGGCTAAGTAGCATGGCCAAGCATCTATCTCTCTGGAGTTCTTATTCTTGACTTTCTTACATGAAATTTTCATCACGTTTTTCAGTAAGTCTTCCAAATGCTTAACTTCAACCATATAGGAAAAGGAAAATATCTAACAGTTAGGCCTAATAAAAACTCATTGGAAGAGATCCCATCTAGGTAATGGTGAAATATCAGCATTTAGGAAGGAATTATTTGTAAACTCATTGTGAAGATTGACAGTGGAGGCACACAAACCTCAAAAATAGAATATGTTTGTTCCTAGCTCTTACAGACTTGAATGTCTAATATAAATTGATCATTTAAAATTGTTGTATAGTTGGTGGAGAGACAGATGCTTCCAGATGCTGATGCAAGCCATGGTATATCAGAATCAGCCTCTGGAAGTTCTTCTTCTTCCCTGATTTTAATGGGAGGTTAGGGCCAGTAGATTCTTGGCTGAAGCATGTCAGTTAAATGTTTGGATGAAATGGATCCAACTTAGTCCTGGCTTGCTGCCCAAGTGTTTTATATGAAATATCAGGAGCTGCTAAGATAGAAGTATTTGGAGGTCATTCACCTACCTTAAATATGACACAGTTGTTTCCATTATCAAAAAAAAATGGGGAGGAGAGGAGAGGAGAGGAGAGGAGAGGAGAGGAGAAACTGATCTAGAAAACTCTTGGCCAATTTTTTCTTTTTTTTTTATTTTGCAGAACCTACTAATAACCAGGTAAGAGTCAATGTGGTTAGGTGCAGAAAGTGGGCAAGTCAGTGCTAGGATAGCTAATGGAAGTGGCTTTTTCTTGAGTGAGTGAAGATGTTGCATATATTTTCCAGTATGAGTTGACACGTGAGTCAGAGAAGGATTTATGCTTTCAAAAAATACATTTTTTATTTACAGTGAAAACCTAAAATTTCAGAATTCGGCATGGTAGATGATGTCTCGTGCAAACTATGCTTTCTTTTGCTTACTGATTCCTCTTATTTTACTTCCTGAATTACAAGAGTCACAAGCATTAAGTTAGGGTCCAGAAGTGGTGAATTAGTATTGGATTGTATGACTGGGACTGGACTTAAGACTCACAGAAACTGTCAAAAATCTCAAATATGTGCCACAATACTTGTTACTCTGTTTTGTTTTGCTACCTCCTTGCCAGTGCAATTATCCTTGAACAGTATGTGGCTCTCCATTGCACCAGCACTTTCCTGCCATTTGTCCTCCACAAATGACAGGTGCTGTGAGTTGAAAATACTCAACTTGAGCTCGTTCATCTTTGAAATAGACCCTGAGAGTGGACACTAAAAACTTTGCCACGTGCCTTGCTAGGACTTTCATTTTTCTATACTTCTATCACATTTGACTGCAGGATGAGATATTCTCTAAATTCTTTCCATGGGCTGTTAAATCAGCAAGTAGCTGAGCATACCTCATCACCTGGCCAGCATTAATTACCCTGTAGTAGCACCCGTAGGTATTTATCAAATATATTTAATTAGTTTTTTATCAATTCTGATTTCACTAAGTGCTTTTATTTTCTCTGTTAAAAAACATGAGGTTCATATATAATTTTGAATGCAATGGGAGGTCTTCAAGATTAAAAGAAAATGTAGGTGTTTGTGTGTAATGTTTAAAAAGCTATCTAAATTCCTATCTCAGTCAGTGTAGTTCTACATACTGGTGTCCATAGGGCTATTCAAATGCCAAGGGCAGGATTCAGATACCTAAACATAGTTTCTGGACTTATCTGAGGCACCTTTAAAGTCACTTGTGATGCCTTTGAGTCTTTTCCATGGCTTCCATCTTTGTTTTCAGGAATAATCCATGAGCAAGCCTTATTGTGACTGTAATCCTATTTGTTAGATATCTTGGGACATCTCAAATAGCAGTAGGTATTCTTGCTTAGGCAGTGAAATGCTTCTCTACGTGTCCAACACAGAGAGTACAGAGAGATCTGGATTGCCTTTCACTTCTTACTGACTGTACTGATTAAGTCTTAAGCAACAATGATCTGACACATCCTTGATAGGAAACATAGTTATGCCCTACAACTGTACATTGAAACTGGATACCTTGATTATCAGTGGCAGGAATCAGGCAGTTCAGGATTAATTTAATCCCACTATTTTAAGGCATCCATTTTTGGATGCGGAGGGATTTTTTTTTAGTGCATACCCTGCAGATGCTTGCCAATTTTTTTAGGAAGTCTTTGAGCATAACTCGCAATGATATTGATTTTGTATCTTGGCATTGCAGGATTTTGGTGGAGGATGAAGTGGATTGGAGGCCTGAAGGAGATATTGTGATCAGCTCTTCCTCCTATGAAGCCCACCAGGCTGAACTAGCTACACTTAAAGAAATCAGTGGTCGTAGTATAACACTCCATGAACGCCTTCTCCACAGGCATATTGGTAGGAAACATATCTTCCTCTTTCAAAGTTTCCTTCTGGAGCATAAACCTTCTGTTTTAGGTCTCAGCAAGATCAGTTTTACTTTACTCATGTATCTTTCTCTGCCTTTTTCAGCTGCTTTTATACAGTAAAATTGATGGTCCAAACTGTACTGAATAGCTCATTCTAGAAAGAATATCTGCAAAGAGTCAAAAAGGGAACTGATGGAAGAATTAAGAGCTACATAATTAGTGGGATTCATGTAGATGTCTACATGAACAGTGTCTCAAAGCAGATAAATACATACTGCTCACTTAAATCAGATGTGTAAAATAGATAATGAATTGCACTGGAGAATTGCCTGTTTCTTTCCACTGTACATAAAACCAGGCTGGATAACTGAATCAAGTCTGGAGATGCCAAGAGTCACCAGAGATGAATTCCAGGCTAGATACCTACGTTGGCTCTCTCAGAATTCTCATTAAACAACACGTTTTTTTTAGAAGATAGCTGCAACCAGATCTCTGTAGGTAATTGCTATTTAGTGCTGTCGTTGGTCTAATTCTAATAGCAATTCACGCAGTATTTCTGTACTGAAGAACATCTCTTGCGTGTGGAGCTTAAAAAAATCAAAGTGTGAATCTGTTCATTGATTTGGCATCTCTGTACCGCAGGGAAAAGATTTAGCACCTTTTTCTAAAAACAAAGTATGTTGGAAAAATATATATGCATGGTGAATATTTGATGGGCAGGTGGCCTTTCAGTTTTAGTGTTGATGTGCGTAGATTGTGCTGGAGGAAAAACCCACCTGAATGTCAGTGCAGATTCTACAGAGATGCTGTGCACAATCCACTAGGCTGGATGTCCCCTGAAGCACTGGTATATAGGTATGATAGACACTTAGCACATTTTGTCTCCTGAAACTCTCCAGGGCATCCCCATGACATAGAAGATGGTAGACGTATCCCTTTGTCTGCAGAAGTTGGACTCCTAACACGGAATATACAGATCAAGTCTGATGTGCCTTGCACTGGGAAGATACTGGTGGGACATTTTACGGATTCCAGTGGGAGAGAGTTTGAAGGTAGTAGAGATTGACCTACTCACATTGACCAGGCCAATTTTGCTAAAGAAAGAACTGTATAGTACAAGATATATCACAAACTGTGACTGTGAGATATGTATGAAATATGAGCACTAATATTTCATAATTATCTTGGAATATATTTAGATGGTGTGGTTCTGTGGTTGGTTGGTTTTTACTGTAAGTGCTTAAATGTTTTTGAACAAATACCCTTTATTGGCAGTACAGTGGCAAAGGTTGCCTACTGTTATATGCCTGAGTGATGTTTGAGTGGTTGTCAACCAGGTCTCGGGTAGTTCTGGAAGCTTCTGTTTCATTGCAGTTATCTCATTACAGGTGTCCTTCAACTTTTAAATATTGAATTTTTGAACTTTGGACCTCCTCAACTTTCTGCTATTGAATTCAAGAATGTAACTCAACAGTCCTCAGTGGTGTCATCCACCATTCATGGTAGCTGTGGAGTTGGCATTAAAGCAGTCATGAGTAATGGGATCTGGTTGCATGATAATATAGTGTTCAACACAGTCGGACCTGGCATCGATCTGGAAGGGAAAAACCATTCTCTCATCAGGAATCTCGTTATTCTAAGCAGGCAGCCAGAGGGTTTATTAAACTGGGTTGCTGGCATCAAGGTGAACCTTGTCATTGGTGTCTCCCTCTATGGCAATGTTGTGGCAGGATCTGAGAGGATTGGATTTCATATTAGAGGCCAAGAGTGTTTGCTGGATGTTGATTATTGCAGTGAAAATGTGGCCCATTCAAATCTCCACGGTATTCATCTGTACAGGGGAGATGGATTTCAGACCTGCACTAGAATAACAGGTTTTCTATCTTACAAGAATTATGACTATGGTATGATGTTCCACCTTGGAAGCAGCGTCATTATAGACAATGTGGTGCTGGTGGACAACACTGTGGGTCTCATGCCAGTAATACACTGTCAGTATGCCAAGCAGTGCTACACGGGGAAAAGACTCCTTGAGCTTAGAAACTCTACCATTGTTGCAACAAGCTCAACTTTTGACTGCATCAGAGACAGGATCAAGCCTCAAGCAGCAGACCTAACTTCCAGGGATCGACCACCATACTACCTTCAAAGAGGCCGTGCTGGGATTTTATGGCCTAAATTTACCACTGTGGCCAGCCAGAGGCCAGATAGCCCATGGCACAAAATTGTCCGTTGTCCAAAAGTGCTAGGACTCATGAAGCTGAAAGGTTGGTCTTCCACTTCTATTGACAAGACTATTCTGTCCCTGACTAATTATAGTTTTGCAAGGCTGAAACTTTGGCCTTCCACACCTACAAATGGTCATGGTAGGGAAATCCTTCTGGATGTGTCTTCAGTTTGATACAGTTACAAGCATATCACTTGGTAATTTTCACTTCCTGTATCAGCTAAATGCAATTATGTGCTAACTTATGTATGTTATTTCAAACACGCTTCTCCTTCTATGCTATTTATTTCCACCTGATGCATGTCTGTGATCTGCAGTCACTCTAACTAAATAGAGGTGTCAAGATTGAGGAGCAGTGCATCTTGTCTAGAACTTGCAATAGAACATCATGACTATAGCTGCACAGAAAAATGGCTTGGCTTTTATTGTCGTAAGGAATTACATTTTTTAAAGAGTGCAAAAGTAGGATATATCAGTTAACTATCACTTGTCTTTGGCTCTAGTTAAATTTCTTGCATCCAGAATAATATTTGTGTAATAAAACCTGGCTGGATGGATGTCATGATGGGATCTAAATACCTCACAGTTTTTCATGTCTTTATTCCTCACTGCTACCTGCTTTTGCAAGGAAATGCATTATGCTCTTCTTACTGAAGAACATGGGAGGGAGAGAATGGCAAATAGACTTCCAGGGTCTCAGAGAGAACGTGTGGCACAGAACGGATTTTGTAGCTACACAGTAGTTCAGTTCCAGAGCCAAGTATGTGTCACCAGACACCAATCATTTCATATTAACATTTGGTAAGTGGAGAAACCATCCATGGCAGTTTGTCTTTAAACTGCTTCTGACTGATTCCAATAAAATCAATTAATCATTCTTTCCCATGTTTCTTTTTCACTTAATATTTGGTTTCATTTCCCATGAGCATGACTTTGGTTTATGTTAACCTCAGATATAACTGCAGCTATGGGATATTCTCAAGTCAACTGAAAGTCTATGATAATGCAAGTAGTCTGATTTTAAAAATATTTTTCACTACAATTTCACATAGAGCAAAGCACTTTCTGACTACTTTTCCTTGCTTGGTCTTTTTTTTTTTATCCCTGGCAGACGTCACATTTACTGGTTTTACAAAGAGCTGCCACAGCGAAGACAGGGATGTCTGCATCATGTCAGATACTGACCATTTAGGCATCATGCCTCTTATCACGGCAGAGAGATCGAGGATGTTACATGTCAATGGAAAGGATAAGTTCTGCTTTCATGCAGCAAGGTAATATGCTTCATTTCCAGGCATCTCCTCTTGTTTCTGCAAAAAATAATTAAAAAAAAAAAAAAAAATCATCTGAAATTCTAAGGCTACCCTCACCACTGTATAAACTGTCTTTTTTGTGTGATCTTGATAAGAATTTAAACAGTTAATTTAGACTGGAATTGTAGGTGCAGAGAAGTCCCATCCTTTTCCATCTCTGCTCCTTTACTGTTCCTGTCTGGCAAAAACTCAAATCTCCCCCGAAAAAAGAAAAAAAAAAGGTCAACAAAACAACAGTTTAGGGCAATATTTGAAGATCTGAGGTTCAGATTGTATTGAGGTGCATCTCCAGACCAGTCCTCTTGGATTTCTTCTGTTACTGACATTTGTATAGCAAACCAAGGTTCATAAATCCTGTTTCTTAAAGCTCTGTCCTGAACATCTCTGAATTCTCAGCCTCAGGCTTCAGCAAATGTCAGGACCTTCAGCAAAAAACCCTGAGATAGGGGATGTCCTTTTGGCTGGGGAAGCAGAGCTTGATTTTTGCCTGCGAGATCACATCAGAAATGTTGATCAGTACCAGGCAGGCTGTGAGATGTCAAATGATTGCCAGAACTGCTCCTGCCCAGGGAGAATATCAGCTGTGTGTGGAGAAACACGGAGCAGGGAGGGAGAGAGCTTCATCTGTAACCTTAAGTCACTGATGGTTGCAGCAATTCAAACATACCATGTCCAATGGAAACCACATGCCAAATTATTTATTACAACCGGTGAACACAATATAGAGGCTATGTCAGGAAAGCCTTGAAGTAGCAAAAATAATCCAGCACGGACTCCACTTGCCAGTCAAAAATAATTGGAGGTGTCCCACACTGCTATGTTTAGAGCCCCTCCAGCCTTCTGCCAGAATTTTTGTTCTATTCTATATTTTTGCTTTGTGCTTTGGGCGTTAGTTTGCGTGTAGATTTCTGAGACCTGTCCAGCCTGTCAGCTCCCATTATGTTTCACTCTTGTATCCATCCCACAATATTATGCTACTAGTGAGCTGCTGAATACGCAGTCCACTGCAAGAGCTGGTGATTTTCTAACATGATGAATGCATGTGAATTGCAGAATGTTTTCTTAGTGGCGTGGTAAACCTCTGAGGGAGATTACATCTCTCAGTGCTCCTCATGCATTATCTGCATGCATTTATTTGATCTGCCTTTGCAGCTGCTGAGCTTGATCCAGGCTGTGGCTGCATTGTTCAGTTTCGGCATCCTAAAGGGATATCTTGATGGATATCTCCTGTCAAGGGGAAGGTGAGCATTGCCTTAGAGCAAGAGAGGAAATAGAAACATCAGGGAATATGGCAAAAGCATGGAGTACTTTGCTTGTCCCTCCCGTAGATCCAGCCAGCTGAAATGCTGGATCTTCTGAGAGATGCTGAAGAATTGAACTGGCTGTCAGGATCAGAAGAGCTGTCTTTGTTCTCCACTTCTTTCAAGTCGTGTGGATTGGAGGGGCTGGCCCATGTGATTGTTTTTTCTTTCTATGGATCATTATGTGTACCTGTTGGCTGCACTCATAATGTCAATAAGCGTGTGTTTTTCCAACTCAAGAAATTCTCTTTGTTCTCCAAGACATAAAAAATATCCATATGACAATCTGAAGATATTTCCATGGACTTTGCTGGAGTACAACTACTTGTGTATCATTACAGTTTTTGTAAGTGGTGTAGTATGTCCAATTGTCTAGCTCCTTTAAACTGTGTTAAACAGCAGTCAAAACACATTTGAAAGCATTTGAGATCCTCAATATGTGGTTCAGCTCACTAAACTTTAGGGTGCCAAAAATTAGGCATATAATCTAAATATATGCACTCAACTTACTGTGTATTCATTAGAGACCCTTGTCTAGGAAATGATTCAGTCTAACTTAGATACATATCTCAGGTGAGGTGAGTTCTTCTCCAAAAATCCTGTTCTTCCTCTGTCTTTAATGATATACAAAGGAATTTATATGGCTTCTGTTTTGTTTTTTGTTTTTAAATCTAAACTTACAATTTCCTCCTGAGAATGTACTGATGGTAGAATGTTAATAAAAACGTGATTTTCTGAGTTATTTTTCATTTTTTTTTCCAGGGAATACAAGTTCACCTAATAAATACCAAAACATTATATATAGGTGCAGGAGTGTTTGTTGCCAGTATAAATAAATTGCAGGCATCAGTTCTTACTCTCTGCCTCATAATAACCCACCTCTTCTGCCTGCCAGTGTACAGACCTCTGAAGACACCACATTCCCTGAAAAGAGCTGTGAAGGCTCAAGAAAGGCCCTTGTCAAGGATTTGGATGGAAATCTCCTGGACCTAGAACCACCTGTTTCTGTTTTCCCAAAGTCAGAATTTGAATGGACACGGTTCTACTTGCAATCTGGTAAGTGTTGTCTGGAGTACTCCAGTGCTGTCTGGAGTAGCTTCAAAGTCATGCATGCACTTGACCTGTGAAATATGTGTGTGTCCCATTCATTGAGACCTACAACTGAGGTCTGTGTGCTTGTGGTCCCAGACTGCGTGATGCATTTTTGGGATGGAAATAGTGAATGACATTGAGATCTCGTTGCACAGTTCTGTGCCCATCTGTGCTTCTCTGCCTTCTTGCAGAATCGTGGCACCTGGTCGTGTTTATCCTCTGTAAAGTTTAATTTAAATGCATTTTAAGATGAAAGAACTCACCTGCCCTTTGCAAAGTCCTCTGAATGTGTTGAGTAAGACATGCAGTATAACTGCCATGGGAGTGCAAAATAATGGCAATAATTGACACAGCAAGGATTTCCATCCGTGCCCCACTGAGGAGATAATCAAGCTGATAACCCAGTCCAGAAGTTTTAAGACTCTCTTGTTTAAAAGGGCCCATTTTGCTCTGCAACCACTCTCTGAAAGTTCACACAGCAAGGCTCCGTTCTCATCCTGATTAAGACTCTGCTTTGTGATTCCAAATAAACTCTTTAATTACAATGAGTATTTCCTGCGCCTGCTGCTGACGGTGGCCATTTTGCTGAGCAGGCGCATCATTTGTGACTCCGGCGGTATGGGAGCCTGATGGAAGGGACTGTAATTAATCCCTTTTCCCATCCTACTCTAAAACTGATTAAACACGAGAAGAACTTTAATCTTTAAACAAAACGTCTAATGCGTACCCAGGAAAGGCTTTTCCTCTAAGGATCCCACTCTAACTGGCTGCTTAGGGGGCTGATTAATATGTTGTCTAGATACAAACACACCAATTTTTCTTTACCTTTTCTCCCTGATTACTATTCACATGCAAGCATTAATATCCTAGCAGCATTACCACTTAACATCTGCATATTAAAGCACACGTACTTTTGCATATGGTACCTCTACCTCATTTAGCTTTGCGCAGTTTTTAGCATACCCTGACACACAGTCATACAAATGCCAGGAATCTCCAGCATCTCAACTGCACTGACAGTGCAACCTGCACTCCACAGGGTTTATCTTCCTATGTAATGGAGGCGACAGCATATGGTAAATGCTCCCTGCCTCCAAGGCTATAACAAAATTGCTGTGTTTTCTTCTTGCTGCCCAAATACGAATGGGGATATTTTTCCCTTTTTTGTGTGTGTTTAATTCCTCCGTACTTCTCATTCTGATCTGAGGTTTCTTTTATCTTGAGGCTGACATTTGAAAGGCACAGCTTGATGCTGAGGTGAATTCATGTTCCCTTCCCTTTCCCTTTCCCCTTCCCCTTCCCTGGGATGGGGATTGGCCTCTGCTCTCAGGTAACAGAGTTAGGATGGGAGGTGATGGCCTCAAGATGTGCCAGGGGAGGCTGAGGTTGGATATTAACAAGAGTTTCTTCTCAGAAGGAGTGGTTATACTCTGGCACAGGCTGCCCAGGAAGGTGATGGAGTCATTGTATTTGGAGGTGTTGAAGAACCAAGGAGATGTGGCACTGAGGGAGGTGGGCAGTGAGCATGGTGGGGGTGGGCTGGGGTTAAACTTGGGGATCTTTGAGGTCTTTTCAACCTTAATAATTCCATGATTCTATGAATTCTGACTGCCTCCAGCACCTTGATCAGATAAACTGGTACCATTCAACGGTTACCTGCTAGCCTTGCTGAGCATAAAAGGAAAAGCTAGTCTTCTCAAGCAGCTATATTATGTTCTATTTCCACAGTTCAGAGACACACATGTATTTGTCTCAACAGCTCTGGCTTTCCCCATCCGTTGAATTGCATCCTCTCAGTGGTCCTGAATCCATATGATGTCTTCAGCTGAAGACAAATCTGATACAGGATATATATCATTTATATATATGGTGTGTGTGTGCAACAGGTTGAAGAAGGTCCCCCTTACTTCCCAAATCCTGCCCACAGCAGATGGGCAGCAGAGAGCTCTGTAATGTATATTTGATTGTGTACCCTCTTTTGTCTTACCAGGTGTCTCATCTTTGGCTTGCTCTGTTAGTGTTTTGGGTCATAGAGCAGGCCTGTTTATTGTGACTTTTCATAGAAACAGAGTTGTCCACATAAAGTTGAAGTTTTAGTTTTCTTGATAAGTCCCAAAAATTCAAGAAAAAAAGAAAAAAAGAAAAGAGGGATCAACTCCAAGTTTTTGTTATTATTTCTTCTAGGGGAAAAAAGAAGTGTCAACAACAGAAGTGCATTTGAATAAAACAAAGAATAATTATTTTTTAGCAAAGGCTACTTTCTTTTAGCTCTTTTCTTTCTTTGCAATATCATGCTGTAAAAGTTTAGAACAAAATGTTTTCCAACAAAAACCCTTGAAATCATTTATAAGGAACTTTCACAGTATCATTTTTCAAATTACCCAAAACATTTTAATGAGTTTAACATGAATTTGTAATTATTTAAATCTCTTTGAGCTGCCCTTCTTGGATGACAAAATGTTTTTCTCCTAGAACTCATCTTTATACCAAACTTCTTACAAAAGAGCTTGGGGCCAGTCCTGGAGCACTAAATGGTACCAGAATCACAAGCTGTACAGCAGAATGAGCTATAAACATGAGTCTAGTGGAGCAGGGAAGGATAAATGAACAGTTCATCTACTCAAGTGGTTTCTGTGTCCAGGTGCAACAAGAAGGAAAGTTGACAGTACCATTGTTCTGTAGTTAAATTTCTAACTATCTGCTAGCTGTCTGCAGTACTTTTATGGACTCTGGTATGAGACTGTGTGAGTTCTTCATGACATAATTGCCCAACGTTTCCCAGAAGCATTGAAATTCATTGTCTCCCTCTTGGTGGAAAGGTAGCTGAGGAGCAGAGGCTGGTAGCAGGTTCATCTGAGCCCATGATCGTAGCCTCAGGCATCCTCTCTGGTGAACTAAGGGAGATTGGCAAAAGTTGGTGGGTTGATACATCCTTACCAACACCTCTCTTCATACCAGTACAGGATGACTGAGCTCCTGGTGAGGGCAAAGAGTCAAGGAAACGCCTTGCTCAAGGACTTATCAATAAAGGTATCATATGGGAGTACGAGGAGGTGAATGCAGAAGGGAAATGGTCTGCAGTATCTAGACTTGTAGAACAGTTTTACATCCAAGTGAACCACAAAGAATGCAACTTACCATATGCATCTTTAATCTCAGCAGATATTCATAGTTAGATGTTAGACTGTGAGGATTGCCCCTGTTTGTTACAAGGGGTTGGACCAGATGGTCTTTCAGGGTCCCTTCCAAATCAAACAATTCTATGACTCTATTCTATGATTCTGCAGTTCTAGATGTCAGGATAATCCAACACAAATGCAGATAAGCATCCCAGAAGGTGCTGGACTCTTTAGGATGTTTTTTTTTTTTTGTTTTTTTTTTGAGTGTTCATATTCATGCACAAACCCAAAAGTGAATCCATCCAGTTCTTATTCTCCTTTAGCAGGGCTTCATATTTAAACAGAAGAACAGCCTCTTTTTTTGTCTTACGAAACTTTTAACTGTAATTCGGCTTCCCAAATGACTTCCATGCTGGTTTCTGAACAGATGCAGAAAGATTCTTAGGTTTGCTAGAGAGCAATTTCTTTGCATAATGTATTTTGTGGCTCTGTATGATAGGGACCCTGTTCCAGTACCTTTCACTCAGCAGAGTAATTCTGTTGAGTAGTAAAGGATTAGCAAGTTCAAGACTGCAGGATTTAGCTATCATGCAACTTTTTCTTTCTGTTATTAACATGTGCTCCTTGCATTTCCTGCAAATAATTGCACTTATTTTCTACTTTATACTAGAAAAACATAGCAAAACTTTTAACTTCTCCAGATACAGTGGAGGAATCAGTGAAATTTCTGTCTATAATATCCTGTGGGATAGACATATATTTTGAAACTATTTTCCTGTGCAGAGGGCAGAATTTGTGACTTGCCCAAGGTCAGTCATTGAATTAATGCATATCCTTCCAAAACTGACAGCCAGACTCTCAATCTAAAAGCACCCACCCTGCTTAAGCAGGTTGAAGAGTATGATTGCATTAACGAGAATCAGCAGAAAATATGTTTTATATTCTTTATTTTTTATTATAAAACTTGCTTGGACTTTACTGAATACTCAAATTCTGACTTCGGTGCTAAGCAACAACAACAAAACGTCCAACTATTTTTTATTATGTAAATGTTGAAGAAATTTTGTATTGAAAAAAAAATAAAAATGGAGTCAGCCTGAGTGGGAATCTATTTGTACAAAGATTTCATCAGAAATAAGATGAAATGTTTAAGTATAGATGTACACAGTCCGAAGCAAATTTAAATTAAGGATTTTAGTCTTCTGGTAATTTTTACTATTGAATAATATTCACAAATAGGAGAGTTATCATTTTGGCATGCAGGCTGCCAATGTAATTCAGGGATAAAGGAGTCTGAAACTGTTGTCATGAATGAATATCTAATATTCCAAGGTGCGTGGTTGGCTGTACCTGCTATGCGTAGTCATTTGTAGCTCTTAAAGACATCTGAGAAGAGAATGCAGGTTTGGTAAATTTACAAGGCATGAAACAGCTATGACATCATCCTGAAACAATTAGTTTTTTTCTCTGATGCTTTTTGTTGTTGTTGTTCACAGATAGAAGCTTGCTTTTTTCCACAATAAATATCCCTTGCAAAATGTCTTGGAAGTGGCAATGAAGGAGATTGAAAGAGCTCTTACCAAGTTATTATTTTATAAAAACTCAACCTAATATATTCAGGAATTACTTGTGGTTTTAAGCTCAAGGAGGGAAGGTTTAGGTTGGATATCATAGAGTCATAGAATCATAGAATGGCCTGGGTTGAAAAGGACCACAATGCTCATCCAGTTCCAACCCCCTGCTGTGTGCAGGGTCACCAACCACCAGACCAGGCTGCCCAGAGCCACAATCAACCTGACTTTGAATGCATATCAAGGGGAAGTTCTTTCCTATGAGAGTGGTGAGGTGCTGGAACAGCTGCCCAGAGGCTGTGGATGCCCCGTCCATCCCTGGAGGTGTTCAAGGCCAGGTTGGATGGGGCCCTGGGCAGCCTGGGCTGCTATGAAATGTGGAGGTTGGTGGTCCTGACTGTGGTGGGGGGTTGGAGCTTCATGATCCTTGGGTTCCCTTCCAACCCAAGTCATTCTATGCTTCTATGATTCCATGACAATTTTTACTTAAATTTCCTGAAAATACATCTCTGGTGAAGAATTCCGTGGGTCTCAATTGAGAAGGAACCTGAGAACAAAGTTGGGAGTTATTTTCAGTGGCCTTGGGAGAACAGCTTTTAAGTAAGCAAGATGGGGATAGGTTACTTTTCTGTCTTTACAAACTATGTGGTGGCTCATAAGGCATGAGGTGGTGAGCCTACTGAAATAAAGGATCAGCTCTTCTAAGTGGAGGCAATGTTGTGGAGTGAAGAGTATCTTTGGGTAAAGAGGCCACTGGTTTGGAATGAAGTTTCAGAGTGCATCTGGATGCCACTGTG